CAGCGTACATTTTCTCTCGAATTTCGTCGTCAGTCTCGCTGACCGACGAAGGGGGGCCGTGGAAGGAGGGTTGCTAGTTTAAGGCGCATAGGTGATGGGATTGTTGGCTAGAATTTGTACCGAGAAATTCGACGATTTTGGAACTTCTCACCAAACTTCGCGGCGGACGTAAGGGCAAATGTGACATGGGCGAGGAGGCTCGTGTTGAGTTCGGCGACGACAGACAAACAATATACGATCCGATTTCTAATACTATTTGGGAAGACTGATCCCCGAATGTAGAAAGGGTGTACGTAGGAAGGAAAGGTTTAAAAAATATTATTATTATTATTATTATTATTATTATTATTATTATTATTATTATTATTCAAGTCTCTCGCTTAGCGAGAGCCTATAGCAGACACCGGGACCTTTGTAGAACCAAGGTGCCTGCTTCGCTTGCAAACTCGGGCGGTCAGTTATTTCAATGAAAACTTCCTAACGATGCGTGCAGTACTCAGGAGAACAGCCTTTTGCAATGTTTGAATGAGCCAGTTCTTAAGGCCAAGACTTGCAGACGATGAAATTAGTTCTTCGGAGATCAGTCCATTTGCAGAGATGACCACAGGGACTACTTAAACAGATACTAAGCGCCACATGTCGCTCACAAGATAGTAATGAGGGAGGAAGGAAAATCACAAATACGACCATGTCTACGCAGGACTCAAACTTGCAGTCTCCTCGGTGCATGCCGTCTGCGTCCCTTATAATAATAATAATAATAATAATAATAATAATAATAATAATATTTACCCTTGTACTAGGAGTACAACAAAATCCTTTTTGATTTAGCCTACTCCGGTTACCTCCCACTTCCATGGCCAGGAATAGAAGTTTTGATCAGTATTATCTGATTGCAGCAAGGGTTAATGGATACGCAAATATTAAGTCATCTCTTTCTAGAGCATATTCTTGTGCAAAGTATTTTCTAGGACCGCAGTCTCATGCAGCCTTTCCCGCTTGCGAGAAAGAGAGAGAATATTCGGTTGACCTCCTTGTCCATGACTTTTCTCTCTTCCGTTTTTCTGATTCGATGATGATTTTTTCTGGCATTTTTGCATTTTATGGAATTTGCGGAAGCACCCTTAATGCGTAGGCCTCTCCGTCCGCTCCGTGCTTAATCCGGGCCTGCAGAACTCCATGGTGCTAATTTTTGTCTAAACAATCGCCGATTTTGGCCGCAGCATTACAATATTTTATCTTTATTACGTAAGTACATAGTACAGTAATGAATTAGAAACAAAACGTTGTCGATATCATGAACCCCAAAATGTAAATTTCCTTCAAAATCTCGATATCGCAACATTACATAACATTTTACAGCATTGCATAACGTTTGTACGTGTATGAGGGCATAGAATATAATGTGATGGCGTTTTCTAAACCACGTACTCGTATGCAACTATTAGTGCTACAATGAAATATTGTATTTTGGATTGGTATATTGGATATACTGGATTTTGCTCCAGTTAGTTCCTATTCCTTTTGAATTGGAATTGTTTTCGGTTTGCCTTGCTCTTGTTGGCTGCCAGCTATCGGCGCCCAAAGAACCTAAGATCTCCCTCCCCCGCAGTCACTATCGCTCTCCTTGGAACAATTCCCAGTGAAAAGTTCCCTCTTGCAACCCGAACATCACATCGAGACCCATCTCGGTCCTTTACCTGCGCCTTTGCTACCTCTTGTTTTATCTCGGATCTTATACCACGTCTCTAGATAAAGGGAGACAAGTTCAGTAACCATAATACGTGTTCACTGATCTGACACACAGCTTGGGAAAGGAATAATGAAAGAGTTGCAATACGCAGGTGATACACTAGGGACTAGGATTGCCCTCATGTCACTAACACAACTGGAAACACCCATGTCTTAACTCACAGCCTTAGGGCCCGCGCTCTTCGGCCCAATAAGATTTTCTCAAAAACGGCTCAATTTTTGTTTCTTTAATGTGTTTGCACAAATAGAGTAAAGTTTTCTTGATTGTAGTACTTACTTAATTGGCATAAGTTTGTTTTCTATTAATACATCTCTGAAATTACCACCTCTGAAATTACTACCAAGCCCTTTTACCAAAAAAGATTTCAAAAAAGTTTTCAAATTGCTCTCTTAGTTCCGGGATGAGATTTAAAAACATGACTTGTAGCGCGATGACGACGGGCTCTCTGAATCCAACGCTGTGTCAATCATGCGAAGCGGATAAATAGGAGCGTCGTAAAGTGAAATTTGGAAAACGAACTTCATCCCATTCCCCCTTCCTCTTCGGTGCGTCACAATAAACATTTTACAAGATATTCAAATACGATTATTTGCAAAGAAGGAAGTCAGAATAGCTAGCCCTGACCAACATAATAGAGAACTAATTCGGGAGAGGCTGTGCCATTCTGTAGCACCACTAGTTAAAATTAGCATCGGCTTTTTCACCTGGGAAAACAGATTCACCATGTCAATTCTTCAAGGAGGCAAACGCCATTTTGAGATCAAAAATTCTTTCCAGTAGTGGAATAATAACGGAAGATCTTAGAAGTGAAATAGATCTATATCTAAAATAAGAAGTGAGGAGATGGAATTTTGGCGAAATTTACACAATTAGCTCAATTTTATTTTTGAAATCATTGTCCCAATCGGAATGAATATTTTTAGTAATGCTTCTAACAATGTTATGATGGTATTCGAAGGAAGACGGAAATATGTGAACAAGATAGTTGTATACTATTATTATGTGTTATCTGTTACAACATCACTTGCTTGATATGTGGGTAAGAAATATATTGAGATGCAAAGTGACGAAAGCATAATTAATTATTATTAATAAAATATTTATTATTATTATTATTATTATTATTATTATTATTATTTCTACAACTGTATAAAATGACAGATTCTGCGCATTGCTTATCCACATGTGTAGTAGGTAATTTTTTCACATCCTTTTTTAAAAACGGCTGGTTCATACCACATGTCTGGCTTGCCTGCCCGAAAGTTCGACCTCCTCCCGCGCCTCAGGCCGTTGGCCGCGTCGAGGACTCACAACGGGCGAGTGACGCACCGGTGTTGAAGGGGGAGTGGGGTGTGATGTTTTTCGAAAAATTCACTTTCCTGCGCTCCTATTTATCCGATTTGCATGATTGCGACAGCGTTGGTTTCAGGTTCAGGGTTGGATTCATCGCGTTATAAGCGCGCATTTTTTTTTAAATTTCATCCCGGAACTATGATATTAATTTGAAAATTTTTTAAAAAAAGGGTGTTTTGTTTTTGTAAAAGGGCTTGGTAGCGTAAATTCTATTTTAAAAAGGAGTCAAATGCTATTTACTGATCGGAAATCGGTTCAGACATTGGTAAAGAAAAGTTTGCTTATTTCGGTACTGCCTCGTGGTGGTGACAAATTGAACTAGTGGCGGCACATTTAGCCTAAAGCCTTGAGAGCATTGGTGGTGTAACAAAAAAGGCATTTACGTACTTCTGTAGCCTATATGCTCAAGTACGAATCCCAGCCTGGGCAAATATTCTTGCAGGTTGGAAATACTTTTGTGGGTTCATCTAGTATGGGGTGGTAATTGTTTCCTCGTCATTGCATTACTATCAAATAAAATCTGTAGTTGGTTTGTCAATGCAATTAGTTCACATGTGACAGAATAATTCTTGTTATTAAGTAATTCTAATTCTTGTTAACAAAGAATACTCATTGCTACCTTTATTCATAACTCACTAATTGTAGCAAAAGAAAAAGGATAAGGATTGTGCAGCTCAAGAAAACGTGCACAAATTGTAGGTCTCAGAAATACTTCATAAATAATTTTTTTTTGTTAAAAAATTCAATTACTTTAATTTAAAAATGTGCACATTTTTTATATCTTCACAAATTTTTAACTCCTAATCATTTGATGCTGTATATGCAACTATAAAAAAAAAATCACAGAAAAGCAAAATCACTTTTCATATGAAAGTTTGTGAGAAAAAACTGTAACTATTTTTCAAAAAAAGACGTTTGTGTTTGAGAATTTTGCCTTTGATTGCTCAACATTTTCTTCACTGGGTATATAAGACAGTAAAAAGATTTTTTTCTGAGCTACGGTGATAAGAGGGTGTAAAGGATGACACGAGAAAGTGGATTAATGCAATCCTGGTTATTATAATCTATCTTACTAATTTCCATTACACACAGAAACTGAAAGAAAACTATCCGCCTTCAGCCATATGAGAAGTGTCTGAGATACTTATACAGGATCTCATAAAAAAGCCAAAATATCTTCTCTTACTAATTTCTAATGTGTGCAGAAATTGAAAGAAAACTGTGCAGCTTGTGGCCTTGTGAAAGGTGTCCATGGTTTTGGTACAACTCAGGGCAAATAGAAAAGCAATGAAATAGTTTCAGTTTTTACTGAAAATGCAAACATTTGATTGTGTTATTCCACCCATTTTCATACTATACATGCCTCTTGAACTTTCATACTCCATGGATCACTACTTACAACCAAACTACTGTTATGAGTCAGCATGGCTACAAGGAAGAGGCCGCTCAACATTAAATATTTGTTATTCTTGTTTTGCATTATGGAACAGCAATATTCTTTAATAATCATGTAGATAAGCAGCAATATTTGTGGTATTATAATAATGGACTGTATATATACTTCACTGTGTTATTGCAGTATTCATGAAGATGATTTTTCTTAAAATATTTAGATATCAGTTTTATATTAGAGTATTTTATTTGTTGTTATTAGGTAGTGTGCGTGGAACTTTTTGGAAAACCGTTTTGTCAGGTTTTTCTTTGCAGTGTTTTTGCTGATGCAGGCCACTTGTGTACACATAAATGTGAAGGGTCAATGATGGTAGTTTCAGAATTAATTTTGTAAACCGAATGTGGATAGGAACCACCCAATGGTTTTGTGAAAATCTATTCCTTTTATGAATATTTATAATCGCTTTTAAAGAAATGATTTAATATACACTTTGTTCCACAGCATTACAGAGATATTTTGAAACTTCTGCAGACAATCCTTCACTACACTAAAGTGGCAGATGATGATTACTCAGCTCTCTCCAGAGTGGTACATGAATTACAGGTAATTTTTCTGAGCTGTTTCTTCAAAATATTTTACAAGATTTAACTTTTTTTAACTTCAGTGTTGAATTATTGCAATTATATTGTTACTTATGAATGAGAAATCAAATGTTTTCACAGTATTATTAATTCTCATTTCTAAAAGGAACCACAAAACAAATCATCAGCCACCTCATGAATAGTTGTATCTCACTTTGTCTCTTTTAGTGTTCTAAAGGATTTGGATACTGGAAACAAATTTTTATTCCTTTGGCATGTGATTATATCACCATGTGCTTGTTTTCAGTAAATTTTATCCAACTACAATGAAGTTTGTTTCCAGTATCTAACATCTTTAGGTTTTTGTGAGTGTCATAAAAAGTGAGATAGTACCTTTTATGAGAAGGTTAATGAAATGTTTCCTAAAAAACCTAGAAAATTTTATCATGCTGGAGAAATGTGTTTCGTAAAGAAGTTGTTTTTTTTTTCATCCCTCTTTTCTTTTTTCTTTTTTTCTTCGCTTTCTTTTCCCAATCCAATCGGTCCTTCCAGATATAAATACTTAAGCATAATGTTAAATAACATTGAACAAACTAATACAAAACTACTAATGGCCTATACAGGATAAAGATGGTAGTATTTAAATTCATAAACTGATATCATTATATTGACATATGTAGCTCAAATTCTGTTCATAAAATTTTAAAGGAAAAACTTCGTAATAAAAAAAGAAAATGCCTTATTTGTGCCAAAACACTGCCAGCAATTAATTGACCACAATTTTGTAGGTTACATATCGTGACGTAATGGCTGGAGCAGGTTTGATGGAACCAGAGGCAGAAGGGCGACCACTACTTTCAATGCAAGATCTTGAAAGTCGCCTTGTCTTCACACGATGCAAAGTAAATTTTGTGAACTAACTTTTTGAGATACAAAATACATTTTGTTTGGAATAAAAATCATAATAACACCTTTAATGTTGTGTGCTTTTAGCCATTTGTGTTGAACTCTCCAGGAAGGCAATGGATTTTTGGTGGAGATCTGAGTAGGGTGGAAGGTCGAGCAGTGCGGCCTTTTTGGGCCTTATTATTCACTGATTTATTATTATTTGCCAAAGTTAGTCGTGACAGAGTTCTTTTCATCACAGAAGAACCACTATCTCTTTTAGCAGTCACACAGGCTTTCTTCAACATTCGGAAAAGGGGTAATACTTGTTTTTATACAATGTTATAGCAGTTTAAATTAGATTATTGTGCTAACTCTTCTCTTTCTATTCATAGCAAATGAATTCCGCTTACTTATGGATGGAGGACCTGAAGGTACAGACAGTCCTGCTGCAGGAGGTTGCGGCCCTGAATTACCCTTAAGTCGGAACCCTAAGAAAGGTGTCAGACGCAGGACAATCTCCTTACGGGCACCAACAGCAGAACTGAAAGCAGTATGGCAAAACCTTATACAAAGACAAATGTGAGTAGATTGTTATAGTTAATTACTACTTTTTTATAATTAAAAATAATGTGAGCATGAATGAATACACATAAGTAAGTCTGTGTGTGAATCCTTATACATTTGTGCATAAATATAGGCATGCACCCAGGGGGGACAGGGAGGGGAGGCATAGCCCCCTGAATATTTCAAAAGGGGATGTTAACCGTAAGTAATAAAACATTTAATGCCTGTAAAAATGATCAATCCTTAAATTTCCCCTTTTTAAGCTGTCACTTAGGACAACTGATACTTCACATTTGAAGAAAAAGCTCTCCAAACTATCTGGCAACTTCATAAATGGTTGAATAAAAGAATCAATTATGAATATTAATTGTATCATTAAAGTTTTATTTGTATTCCATTTCCAATAAATAAAACATCTGCTTTATTTATTTTATGGCAAAATAACAATATAAATTGTTAGAGTTATCAACAGGGCAATAGAATCCTGTTGGAAGGGTACCTACCAATTTGCTGAGCGATCTGAATGCCTCTGCATCCTCTTTGTCAAGAGCTATACTATGGGTGTGTAACTGCTGAAATGAATGTGTGTAACTTGTTGTGTGCTAACAGTGCTTTGTGCATCACAAGATGTAATCTGGCTATAATTGAAGGAACACCTACATGTCAATTGTTTAGTGTGTGTTCTGTCCATAATTCCAACATAAATAAAAAAAGGTTTAATAGAAAACCCGTTTTCTATGAAACCTTTCTTTATTTATGTTGGAATTATGGACAGTTTTTCTTGATTATTCTATTTACCCCATTATATTTTTGAATTTTTCTTTCTTGATCTTCTAATTTTGTCTCTTGATATTTCCTAGATACATAAATTTTGCTACTTGTTCTATTATTTTTCCATCTATAAGAATGTTAACCCTTCTCATTTCTTTGTCTTGGAATGCCATAGCTTTAATCGTTTTGTTGACATTTTCATGTATAATAGGGCTATTTTATGAAGTTCATTTACTGTCCTCTGTAAGTCATCTTCTGATTCCGTCATTAGGAGCATGTTGTCTTCATAGAGAATTGTTTGGACTGTTTGTCTTTGGTTTTAATTTATACCGGCTTTCGCTTTTCGTTTCCACTTTTTGATCATATGGTTTGGATATATATTAAACAGGCACGGTGATAGCCCACACTCCTGTCCCAGACCCCTTGTTCTAAAAGTGTCTGAATTGCTTCCATCATTTATTCTTACTTTAATCTGAGTGCCTGTAAACAGAACCTTGATTCCTTTTATTATGTCTGTAGGTATCTCTTCATCTTCCAGTATTTCCTATATTTTGTTTCTGTTCACCCTGTCATAGGTTTTCTCAAAGTCTGTAAAGAGGAGGAAAGTTGGAAGATTCACATCATTTCCTTTGTTCAGGATTGTCTGTATTGTGAAAATAGCATCTTTTGTACTTCTGCCTTTTCTAAATAAATTTTGTTTTTCTCAAAGGAATTTTTCCCTATATTTATTTAATCTATTTCTTAAGATGTTAGCAAAATTTTTGATACTGTAGACAGGACAGTTATTTTATCTATATTAGTTGCAATATGTTTTCAATCCTTTCATGTGTACATTTATCACTATACCTATCTGCCATTCTCTTGGAATGAAAGATTGCTTGAATACTTTTCCTAAGCATTGTTAAGTAGTTTTGTTAGGGTATTCTTAAGATCATTTCCTACACATTTTAGAGTTCTATTGGGATTTCATCTGCACCTGGCTTTTTCCTATTTTTGGCATTCTTTAGTACTCTACTTTGTTCAGTAATATCAGAATCATTTCTACTTATACTTCTGTCTGTTGCTATTCCAAAGTCTTGTGATATGGTTTACTCACTTCTGTTTCGATATTAGGTCCAAATTGATTTTGTTCCTTGTGTCTGATCTCAGCATTCTTAATATTTTGAAACCATTTCTCTGAGAGCCTGTAATATCCCTTATCACAAATTTCTTCCAGTCTTCTCTTTTTACACCCTGTGTTATTCTTCTAGTCTGAACACTAAATCTTTTATATTCAGTATAGTCTTCTGTACTAAGTGTTTGAAGATTTTTGAGATGCTTTCTTGTATTTCATTACTCTAAGTTCTTAACCATTTTTCCTTCTTTGGATTTTTAAAACCTATAGCTTCCTTGGCTGTGAGTAATATTGCTGTTTCAGTGTTGTCCAGAACATGTGTACATATTGCATATCCACCATCAGTAATTTCTCTGTAAGCTGATTCTTATACAAGTGTCTGATACTTTTTTCCTCTAGTAAATATGTTTTCAACTTTGGTGCTGATTTAATTTTCCATTCTAATTTTCTAATTCCATTATGATATAATTGATCAAATAAAGAAAATAACTTTCCCAAAAAATTTAATTCTTCAATCACTAAATGTATTTCAGCATTTCCTTTCTTTCATTAATGACCAAGTGACATTGTCATGGTTTGTAAACACAGAGTACAATTACAAGCAAACTTTGCTGAAGAAATGAATACCCTGAAATAAGTTAAGATGTTGAAGAATTAAGTTGTTTGTGGAACATTATTTATTTTATTTGGTTAGTTATATCTTATCATAGATCATATTATTAACTTAAAATATAACAATTTCATTTGCAAGTAAAATAAATTGTGTTTAATGAACTTAAATGAAATGAAACCAACTTCATTAAACACATTTCTTTTACTTTTCATTGTTAATTTTCCACAAATATAATCTGTATATTTTGTTTTCGATCAATAGCATATTTATTTTAGAAGAAAATTTAAGAGAAGGTATGATGAGCTACTATTTTTGGAAGAATGTCATTAAATTAAAAAAACAAACATATTTTTTACTGAACATACTAGGAAACAATTAAAATTTATTACAGAATTTATCTCAATACTGCTCGTGGAGGAACTCCTGCAAGTAGTCCACTTGATTCACCAGACCAGCCAACAACATTGTCAGTGGCAACGTTGGATTCTATTTCTCTACGCCGGCAGGTGCGTCCTCATATTGAACCTCCACATCCAACACCTTCCTGTGATAGTCCAACTCCTAGCACTACAATTAGCCCTACATACAGCCCAGTGCACCGTCCTTCCTCTCATTAACTCTTGTTTGCCTTAAACCCTGAATCCAATCAAGCCAGAATTTGCTTCTGTGTTTTGTATTACAGGAAATGCAGCAGGGTGAGTTTTTGCTAAGAAGCATTTTACTAATGATGTGTAGTATTGTTTCAAATGTGTTCTTCCCAGCATTTACATTCATTACATATCTTAAAGAGTGCAATGCATGTCATAAAATCTCTGGCAGCCCTAAGTATCTTGAATACCACTCAGGAATATGAATTAAGAATCTGAAGTTATAATATTACAATATAAACGTTTATTAAGTTGAAAAATACATGCTTCAAATAATAATATAATTTCTCTCACTGAGAAGTACATATATTTTTGCATTGACATAAAATTTTACAGCATTCGATTATGATATTTGATTACACTCTGTGCTGTGTATATTATGTATATTATTTTGTACTTTCAAATGTGGACCACATGTATGCTTCTGAAGAAGCCAAGCTGAGCTTAAAACTTATAAATTTCCAGAAAAAATTATTTTTCAGGCTATTGAAGATACATTTTCAGATAAATTTATACTGTTTTTCTTGTTATCTTAAGCTAAGATAAGCTCTCAAGCAATGTTCATTTTTATATTCCAGTTTAAAACAAAGTTTACTTATTTTTATAAAATTTAAGTTGTTCTTGGGGATGCTCTTATGTATAAAAAGTTGACAATACTTTTTAAATTCCAATATGTAACTTAATTAAAAGAGAAAACTATTTGAACAGGTCAGATAAAGAATTTGTATTTGTAATTGTACATCTTACATGATATGGATTGTGATAAGTATACCTTAAATACCACATGTGTTTCAGAAACCAACTGTACAGTATGTTTATAAGTCATCAGACACTAAGTTATGTAATAAGAATATTATTATACTGTACAATTAATATTGTTTGTATTTGTATGAATACTGTATGAGTGATCTCATATTTGTATTAAATTGGGCAGATTACTGTGCACATGTGTACATTTTTGCGTTGATATTTTGCAATAAATGTGTATGTAAGAAACGAGACATTTGAGAATGTTATTTCAATGATTACTGAAATTTCTCACAGCATTTAAAGAAATGCAAAATAAGCACCTCAATTGTCTCTTAATATTGCACACTGATCAGTTGGACATGAACTAAGAGTTGACAATCCTTTGAGTTTTGCGTAGCGAGTCAACTGCTGTGATTTGTGAGGCGGCTTGCTTTCAGAATTGTAAAAATTTACTGGTGCCTGTAAAATGTGCTGAAAATTCACATAATGATTTGCACAAAGTACAGTTATAAAGATGCATATCTGTTGATTATACATGTACAATAACAATCTATTAATGCTTGAATATCCAATATGGTGTATCTGTTTAGAAATTTGTGTAAAATAAGTACATCCTTTTATGTATTTAATAGATACCTAATAAAAACACACTAACATTGTAATAAGCATATAGAAACAGTTTATTTTTGGAAGTTACAGTTTTGTATGCGTGCTTGTTTCATTCTGCCAATCAAAAATCAAAATCATTCTAATGAACACTATGTTATAATAGAATTCATTATATCATATTTTCTTTTAGCTGATCAGTTTCTTGTACATGTTTTTGGAATTAATAAAACTGACAAATGTATGTATTTCTTTGTTACTTTTATCACAAATTAATTTTCTAAGAAATTGAAATTATTCAATTTTTCTTTATACAATCTTTCATATAAGGCAATTTACAGCAAGATGACTATCTTTAGTCATGAAGTACAAGGGTAAGACTGTTCATTATCTTCCATTTATGTGCATTTTTAGATTGAAACTATAAGTGTGAATATGCATGTCAATTTTTTAAAATACTTCAACCTTAATGCCATAGGATTACATGAAAATTACAGTGATATTATAGACCAGAAAACGCATGTATCAATTTACAGATACATTTTTTAGATTTAGGACATAGTATTAAATAGATTTCACATAATTTCAATCTCTTCCTAGCACTTATTATTATAATTGTGTTGTATTGACAAAAAATTGTTATTCAGTGTAGCTTTGAAAATTAACTGTAAAAATTTGCTTTATTTAGAAAAATAGTCATTACTTGAGATACCTGTACTGTTCAATTTGGACACAATCCTTTCAACAAAATCATATTTTCAACTACTTTTTACAATACACTTTTTAAGCAAAATATTTATGTTACAATTTCTAGTGTTTAGAAACTAGATTATTCACCAATCCTCTTTTCTATTTTTTTATCATGTATATAATGTTATGATCTGCTGAAGATAAAAGAAGCATTCTCTCAAAAGAACTTCCAAACAATTTAATAATATTAGTGAAAAAGTGTTACAAATTGAAGATTTTGTATTCTAGATTCTTCTTCTATTTAATCATCTCATATTTTAGTCTGCAGTCAATCTACTACAAACAGTGTTCCAAGATAAGATACATTTCACAGAAAATGATACTATTAGTAGAAATATGATTAATGAATATGATGAAAAATATTTGTACCAATAAACTTTCTTGAATACAGACTTTTTAAAGAATGTTATAAACACTGAATATTTGTTTCAGAATGTTCTAATGAAAATGACTTTGAAGCTCTTTCTGGGTAGATTTGTTGCAAAACTTGTTGTTGTTTTTATTAATAAGAATGACTGATTCTCAAATACTATCCTATGAATATATTGCTACAACCCTAAGAGTGTATTTTGTATTCCCATCTTTCCTTTGTCAACATTTTGTGATATACACTCACATATACATGTTTAGATAATTTAGAGTAGATTTAAAAACTTAGTTAATATTGTTGGTTAGTAGTAGAATATAAAGGCATAGTAACTAATTAAAATTCGTTCAGCTAAAACTTGTTAACTGTCTGCACATTAAAAAAACACCCTTAGACAATTTTCCATGGCTCTATAGGCATGAAGTCTCCAAATATTCATAATTAGTTTAGCTAGTATCAGCTTAGCTTATCTCTTTTGTTTATATACCTATGTTAATTTTTCAGACTCCTCAAATGCAAGAAGCCAAATCTATGAAATCCCTGAACAATTCTCAACGCCATCTTGATGAATTAATTGAACATAAGTGTCGACAATTAGGAAAATCAGGGGCTAGCAAAGGAAGTGCATTACATCTAGCTCAGTGGATGCGTGGGCAGTTGGGGGGTTCAACAGGACCTCTCACTCCTGATGAAGAACCAGAGCCTGAGGTTTGGTCACCAGAAACTCTGAGAAGGCGCAGTGAACAACTTCAAATTTTAGGTGTAGGGACTCTAATGCCCAATCGCAATGAAAGCCGTTGTGAAGAGATAGAACTTTCTGACACTGAAAGAAGTAACTCTAGAAGCACAGAACGCAGTCGATCTCACAGTACATCAGATAGCCAGGTATACATTACTTTGTATTATTAGCATTTTAATTTGAATAGAATAATCAGTTGGCTTCTACATATTTCTTTCTATTTGTCAAATTACTTTTGTAGGTTACAGTGCGTTCAGGAGGGCCAGAGCAACCGATAGCTGTTTGTCGCAAATGTCACAAGACTTGTTTGGCAAACAACACCCTTTCACCTCAAACCAGTAATCCTACTGATAATGACATGAATACTCTGGAAGATGATGATAATGATTTAGATGATAAATGGGGACCTTTAATGTTGATGGGTTTGTCAGCCCTCAGCACAACTGTGGGGCTTGGGAGGCATCTCTCTTCAGATCCTTTTTCTCCAACAGAAGTTCCGATGATCTCCGTCCTGCCTCCAACTCCTGATACAATGCCTCGCAGCTCAAGTTTTCAATGGGATGACACTGATGTATCTACAAATGTACCTACAGGATCAGGATGCAGTCCTCCAGTTGATACCGTTTTTCCAGTAAGCATCTATTAGTTTTTCCTACCAGAAAATAGTATTAACATGTAACTATTAATGCAGAATTGTGTATGAGCACTTGCTCTTTTCAATACATTTGTGAACATCATTATATTGTTATAAAGTAATAATTTAACAAATCCAACTGACACTTCATGCATGATTGTAACTGTATATGTGACCAATAAATAATCTTATTATTGTTAATTTCCAATTTGAATGACAGACAATACCAGAACAAACTACCCTGCGAGATGAAGATGAAGAAAGTTGTGATAATGAGGATCAAGAGCCTCCTTACAAATCACTTACTTCTGCATCTGGACTGAAACGATTTGGAACACTTGCAAGCCTAGAAATGCTAGAAGGAGAGGAAGAACAAGCAGCTGAAGATTCCTCAAATTCAGATGAAGGTGATGAATGGGATTCAGACACTGAGGACAAACCCAATGAATCCCCGGAGGAGCAAAGTAAGTTTTATAAAATCTGAATAGTTTTTATAACCTGTTATATCAAGTTTTATTATTTGATGGTATATTTCACTCAAAAGTTTCATGAAATTTATAATATATATTTTTAAAGAAGCTAATTACTTTCCTTCCACCTTGGTTTGAATTATCTTAAATATTTCACAGGAGATGCTCCACCACAACTTGAAGCAGTTACACAGAGTCTTAGAGGCTGGACAGCACGGGCTGGATCATTTGTTGCTGAGAAAATGGCTCTTTTTGAAAGGCTTGGTGAAGATTCCCGAGCAGCAGCCTTTCTAGACAGGTGGGTTATATTAACAAAATACTTTAAAAATATATACATGTAGGTACATAAATGTTTAATGTGTTGTTTGTTGTGTTGATTTCATACAAGATATTGTATGTATTACATTAAATAATGATGTTTTCTTCATCAGTTTAAGGAACCTAGCATGATCTGTGTGGATAACTGTTGCTGTAGTCTAAAAGTTATTTCAATTTCATCATAGATTATTGTTATTCAGTGTGCAAATCAGAGCACTGGCAGATTATACTCAAAATCCAAAATAGGGGATACTGGAAAATATTTATTCCCACTTTGTAGGTCTCCGACATCTTGAACAATCCTCAAAGCCAGATTCATCAAACAACCCTTGTGCAGTAAGATTCTGAGCCTTATAATGGAAGGTTCTCCTGAGTTTTATCATGGTGATTTAAACAATATGCATTCAAATAGAGTTTATTTATACACATTTAGTTGCAATGATAGAGCAAGACTTTCCACAAGTTGATCTTTATTTTTACTATACAAAAACTGCACGTACACTTACAAGCCAGTAATCATGAGAAAAAGACTTGGCCAATTGAAATTCTCTAAGCTCACTTCCAAAAAAGCATTTATTAGATAAATATTGCTTGGCCTCCATGCCAGTTGGTCTCTCTGCTGCACTCAATTTAGCTCCTTGTGTTCCTGGTAATGTGTGTAATGGTGGTAACTTGAACAGTTTGGAAGGAATGAACAAGTGAAAATGATAGACGAAGCAGGTCACGTGTATGTCTATATGTGCCATTGCTGCGGGCAGGTATCTGAGGCCTGCTGCTGAGCCACAACTCACACATGTTCTGGCCAGCTCTCTACCTGATCCTGCAACAACATCATCCGATGACTGCGAGACTTCAGCAGCTACTTCAGATGACGTTTGGGGAACACCCACCAGCGGAGGCGACATGGATGACATATCATTCCCATCACCAGAATCAGCTGTAGCTTCGGTCAGTGTTGTGTGAACCTTCCAAACTGTTACAGTTACCAAAGCAGTGATATTATTTGAGTAATATTATTTGTTGGGTTCAGGCAAATAAATTTTCCTTTTTCTTCTGCATGCATTCTGCCCTTAATTAAAAGCATGATTTAATGCAACTATTAAAAGCATGAATGTGATTCATTTCAGAAGCATGTTTTTCCAAGAATTATTGAGCTTTATCTTAAGATAAATCTATTGATTTATTTATGGCACATAGTTTTACGATTGCTGAATTGTATGTTTTTTCACATTATTAGTAAGTTCCATTCCTTTGATTCTTCAACGATCAAAAGTTTTCCATTTTTTCACATTATATTCTATATTCTTTTCCTCTTGTTTTATTACTGCAACTTAGCATGATATACAATATGTTCATATTTCTTGTACATGAATGTATATTGTTAAAATGTTCATGCAATAATGTTTATGTATGTCTGTATAAACTTGTTATCCACAACTTTCATACAAAATACATGCATGCTCTTCAATTTTGTGTAATTTTCTAGCTTGTTATAATTCTTCAATTTCAAAGGAATAAAATATATTGTTTTGTTTTTTTAACTCTCAACAAGCATCAAGCATGACAAGCACTTATGAATGGAAGATACCAAATTCCTAGTGTTTCCTGCAATTTGTTATGAATGTCATTGGCTATGGTATTACAAGTTATTATACTCATTTTTAATTAACTTTAAGGTATTTTACTATCCTTGGCTGGTAAACAATAACAGTCTTAGTTAGGGGGCACACTGGCTAAGAAAATAAACTCATAAACAAGTTAAGACAATACTTATTTATTTACACAATTTTATGTTGTAAGAGGAACATTAAAATAATGAGAAAAGTCTGAAAAAGAATTAATCATTCACATTTTCATGAAATACTTCAATTGTTTAATATATCAAAAATAATATTCTTGAATATACAATGCAAGTTAATTGGATGAGTGTTGTAAAATATTACCTGTGAATCTTTTCAAATAAGTTCCTAAACAAAGTACTAATTGCTTTTTTCTTTGATAATTATAAAGAAGAGAAAGTTTCACAAACTGATGAAAATATCACTGAATAAATCAACCATATTAACTTTTTTAGTATCGTATATACATTCTGGAAAAAAAAAGAAAAGATCAATGAAAAAGGCAGCAACATTGTATAATTCTTCAGATATCTGATTTTCTATTGATCATTTTATATGTTTATTATTCAAAATAAACTTATCCTATTTAGTCATGACTCCTTTAGAGTAAAAACATATATTTATTTCTCTCAACAAGAAATATTACACTGTCACTCTGATGACCATTCCGCAATGACCCATTAAGAGAGAATAAATGTATTTCACTTATCCCACTGTTCTCAAACAAGATTAATTTGTAATTAAAATTAATAATATGAAATAATTATTGTTTAAGTAGGAGTTTTAGCAACAATATTTGCAATACTTCACTTTTATTCTTTATATTATGTGACAAATAAACCAAGAGTTATGAAATTGGTAATTATCAATCATATTTCGCTACTCAGTTCTATCATTACTCAAATTTCAGAACTTTCCTAGAATTGAAGATAATAGTACAATATTAATATACGAATGAAGTAACTTTTGGTTTCTGAAAATTGAAGAACAGATAAAAAACATTGTTTCCTTTATCTGTTCTTTGCAGCAACAGGAATCCCCTGCCGTCTCCCCAACATCAGCCTGTGCAGGAGACGAGGAAACAGAGCTCATGATGGATGAATTGCTGGCGACGCCCCCACTCACCACAACAACACGCGGATTCCCACCTCGTAGACGCCTTGAGCCCCTCCTTGAAGAAGAAGACACTGACATCTCTCCAAGCTCCACGCCTGTGGAGCAAGAAGAGACGCCATCACCAGAACAGGTAAGTTTCACCAGAGTGAGCAGGAGATACTTAGCATCAATAATCTTTTCTTCTCATTTAAAAATATTAAATTGTAAACCTTTTTTGATTTCTTTGGAGAGAGTGAGTAATCACGAGAATCATTTATTTTTAATTAACTAATTTTTAATCATAAAAGTAATGTATGTATATACACTTTGTTGCATTTGTAGAAGTTATGCCCAAGCCTAGTAACAAAACAATATTTTCTGAAAATTATTAGTTTTTCAATCCTTTACTTGGGTGACTTGCCACTTATTAGCAGAATCTCTCCACACTTATGGCAACAAACATTCATCTATAGTAGGGAAAAACAAAAATATAAATTGGTATCTTTCCTACACTGAAAAAGTTTTCTCTCTCTTTCTTCTATCAAATGGATTCTATTTTAGCATTTGATTTGGACATCATTTGTCATCTGCTTAATATTTCTTATTGCTGGAGTTCTTTAGGGTATTTTTTTCCATTAGAGAACAAAAAATTCCTTTTTGGAACCTTATTTAGTATTTTTTATCTTCTTGTTTCCATATTAGTTAGAGATATTCTGTCATAAAACCAGTATTTTGGTTCTCAATTTAATTTTGGAGTGATCTCTATTGGGTGCATATCTGTTTCTACACTACTAGCTTTCCTTTCACTAAAATCTGTTATTATCTAAGTCTTTGTGTAAATCTCCCGAGTAAGCCATGTAAAGATTTTGTTCCTTTTTTTCAATTATAAGTCTAGCACCAACTTTTATTGAATTCAATTTTTTAATACTATTTTGTTTACAAATATTTTATCAAATTCATTATTATAAAATTTAGTATTAGAAGAAAAGCAACATCTTTTCTATCAGGATATTTACTTGTCTGTCTAGTTAAAAGATAAAATTCATAGGTGGGATCAGAAACAGAGGCCATTAACAAGTGCAGGACAGATAGAAAAGATGATAGATGACGATGATCTGATGACAAGAAGATCTGAAGAAAAGAAGATGATAGATGAAGATGATCTGACGATAGAAGGGAATGTTAGGGAAAGACTATGAACAACGAAAAATTTAGTCCGCAAAACTTTCAAAAGGGGCTTGAAAAGTCATAAAATGTCACAGCAAGGAAGGAGGACCAAAAAGAAAGAAACATATTCGGTTAAATAAGGGAAGTGACAAAAACCATGATTATTAATATTAATAAAATATTCTCAGGTGGCCTCTTCAAAATTAGACAGTTGTCTTGTATTCACGGTCGACTTATATTCAGTTAAATACGGTAATATAACTGAATATTCAACATTAGAATTCAACATACATATTTGATCTATTCACTTAAAAACTTAAAAAAAAAAAAGAAAAAAAAATTAGTTAATATTCTCAAATCAATAACAGCCTGAATTTTAACAATAATTTTAAAAGTGATGTTGTGAATACAAAATTTGAACTAAGTTTCAGTCACCCATGTGAATGAAAGTGATTGAGATGAATGATTGAAAGAATGAATGATAGGATAGTTGGAAAAAATTCCAAGGAACCGGTGATGTGTGTGACTGATGACAGGGCAGCGGGGTTGGAGGTGCTGCTGACATCAGCGCTGTGTCATCTTCCGTGCCAACCAATCGCCAGTCTCCAGGGTTTTTCAATCGTCTGCGTCTATGCAAGAATCAGGGTGACCCTCACAAAACCAAAGGAAATAAGTTGTAAGTTTACATTTAAGTTCTTTCTAAAATATATTGAAAACAAATTATTTGCATTTGTAAATCTATTTTAAGATTTTTAAAAGAATTACAAACTTTGCAAAACTCAGTTAATAAATGATACACTGTACTGGAAGATATTTATGTCATAAAACAAAACCTCTCCATAGAGAGACTGAGTAAATGTGCAGTTCATCACTTTTGTATTGTAATTAATAGATGTTAATGGCAATGCATTCAACAGTTATTTAATAAACGATAAAGGCTTGCCTACATATGAAACATTTTACTGCAAATTTGATATTAAATTCATAAATAAATAATTTACTCCCTACAAATTTTGTTGATGTATTAAGAAAAGCACTTTGATCTTTAATCAGTAATGAAAAGTACATACCAAGAAATACGGTATTTAAACACTTAATTATGATATATAGAATATGAAGTGAAGAATCCAGTACTGAATCCAGTAAAGTAATTTTTCTATTTGCAAGAAAAGACAGTTATATATATTCTGCATATCGAAGTGGAATCTTTTTTCAAAGTGTGAAACTGCTAATATTTGTTTCTGAATAATGATCGTTAATTAAAAATTTAAGGTTTCTTTTCTAGAAACTTATACTTTTCTTTAAAAGCTAATGCTTTATTGGGTTATTTCAGACTGGGCTTCCTCAGTAATAAGAAATCTGAAGAGGATGGAAGCGGAGTTATTGGGAGCAAGGCATTATTTCGTATTTTTGGGCGTCATCATGTTGATGATATTCCCACAAGTCTACCTCCACAGCTGACTCCACGTCGAACAAATGTAACTTTCAAGTAGTAGTTTCCATGTACTCTAATTTGAAACTAGTTGAAACCTTTAAAATACTTATATTTTGTACCTTCTTTGAAGTACATATAAGTTGGTTACTACAACTTCAACAAATTCTGGCCTTCTCAACAACCTCCCTCCAATCACTTCTATTCTTGATGCACTCTGCCTGTTTCAAGGTTTATGTGCTTTTCAAGTCCTTGAATAAATTATCTTAATAACTTAAATTATATTAAATAATTTATTCAAGGACTTGAAAAGCACATAAACCTTGAAACAGGCAGAGTGCATCAAGAATAGAAGTGATTGGAGGGAGGTTGTTGAGAAGGCCAGAATTTGTTGAAGTTGTAGTAACCAACTTATATGTACTTCAAAGAAGATACAAAAGTGTTGTTTTTCTTTTTTAAATGTCACTCTGTCCGGACGGTGACTGTGAACACTACTAGTGTCTAAACCATGTGTAGATTTTTTTCAAAATTGAAGAAACCCCTGTCCATCTGGCTTGAGTTGAATCTTTGAGATTTTGAAAAAAAATCTTTAAACTTTGGGGGTACTTTCATAAAGATCCCCCCATGGATACTTTCAATATTTTCTCAAAAATGTCTCCAAATTCTTTCTTTAAATTTCTTGTAAGACGAGAGTAACACAGACTTATAAAGATGGCACAGGTCCAATTTTTATGGTTCACTCCGAATTTTCAAAAATTTCAAAAGTATGAATTCCTACAAAGTATGAAGTTTGTATTCCTACAACAAAATTGAAGATAGAGATTTTTCCTCCAAATAAAATTTGTTCTCCATAGTGAGTTCGTACTTTAAAGTCATTTACATTACTTGGAAAAATTTAGTAGTTTTCATGCAATATTGCGATCAATATGTGCTATTTTAAAAAATTACATAAACAATATATTTTTAAAACCGCTATAAAACTTTTCTGTTAGCTTTGGTAGCGATGGTACTAAATTTACTGTATAACAGGACATAAACACCATATTGCTCTATTCTTTTGTTTTTTCAAAAATTACTAAAATATAATTTGTTTGACTTGCCTCTCATGTTGTTAATATTTATATTAGAGGCAATTTGTTCACATTATTATATTATGAGTACATACGCTTTAAATAATGTCACACAACTACCATTTTCTGCAAAAACTATCCCTAAACTCTGCATTTTCAGAAACATTCAAATACCATTTTCTCAAAAACTGCTCCAACTTTTTCTTCAAACATTTGGCATGGATAGTGGTAATTGCACTCTTTAATACGGCATAAAGTTATTTTCAGTGTATTTTTTGTTTTTTTCAAAAATTATACAAACGTAAATTTTTTGAAAGATCTCTCACATTGTTGATATGCACATTTCCAGCAATTTGTAAACACTATTGTATTTGTGAGTTAAAATTGCTTCAAAATAGGTTTTTCAAAAACTCAAAAAGTTTCTGTGAAAAAGAGCTTTAAAGTTTGAATTTACAGTAGGGCTTAAACACAGTTTTTTTAAATACAGCTCTAAATTTTTTGAAGAAAATTGCCATATTCATCGAGTGTTCACCTACAATTAGAAAACCAAAAAATTTGGAAAATGCGGCGATAGATGGCAGCAGTCAAGAATATGTGTCAAGGTCGAATAGCTAACTGAGACCAAAAGAAATAGAAAACTAATACGAGAAAGTCTGTACCATTCAGTAGCATCACTAGTTTCTAGTACCAAATTTCTCGTAGAAATTAAATTTAAATCTCATCAAATGCCACAGATTTAAAGCAAAATATTTTTTTCTGCAATTTCATATTTGTGACAAAATTCACGGAAAATTAATAGAAAGATGTGAGAAACAAATTTATATTCATTAGGGTAATTACTAAATAATAATAATAATAATTTCTATTTTTATCACTCTCATCATTTTTTTATATTAGAGCAACAGTACAGGATGAAATTGAATATGACACATTAAGCAATGAGGAATATGGCACATTAAGCAAATGTATAAAATGACGAAGTATAAATATATAAATTGCAAGCCAATATCAAACAAAGAACTAAGAACTTTACCCTTAATAGTATTTTTTGAAATTGATTGCAAAAGGGATTAATTCAGAACAACAAAATAGTTTTTGCACTTCAGGTTGAATAAAATGCACGTATGGAAGAATTCTAAAAGTTTTAAGACAAATTACTTTGCTCATTATTAATATTTTTGGATTCAATGTTTTAAAAATAAATTGTATTAAGTTTTAACTTAACATATTCTTTGATTATGATTTTCAAAATTTAATTTCATTATATATATTTTGTATTAAATACAAATGAAATTGAATTTAATTTTTATTTACATTCCATATTGGAAAGGCTAATCATGAAAAATTATGATTGATCATGGAAAGTAACACAATAAGTACTGATACTGATACAATTAGTGACTGATATTCCTCCTTAAATTGGATATAGAAACACACATACTCACGCAGTGTATGTATAATGTACACCTGTATTAAAATAGAAAAGAAGCTTCTCAATTAATGATATCTAAGCTTTTCCCAATTTCTTGGATTCTAATTTGTTTATTTCCTCTACAGGAAAGACAATTGGATAAGAGATTTTGGAGGCAGCTGAGAAGAAGAAGGGGTGAGGGCAATATATCATCGCCAGCACAAATACCAGCATAAAACTGCAGATTTCTTCTGTACCATTTTTACCGTTCTTTGAGACTACAGTTGCTCAACCATAGGTGCAAAACTGACACAAACTTGAAAAATAAACCATAACTAGTGCTAAGCATCTAAGGCAGGATTCATGGAGTGGAAGAAACAAGACACCTCAAGGGGATTGTATGTGTGATGGCATCAGTAAGACTATCAGCTTTGTAATTCATATTCCTTTAGGTTTTTATTTCATGTGTTCCTAATGTGCATAATAATAAAAAACAGTAATGATTATCAAAGAAGATAGAAAAAATTATTACACTAAGCTTGTTAATAAGGTCTAGGTGGGAAATAAAATTTACTGCATTTGTACATTACTATGTTAATAATTTCTACTGCAATATGAAAACCATGATCTGCACTTCTGAGATAGAATTACAGTTTTACTCAGATTTTAAGAAAACTCAAAGAGCACTATCAGGTACTTAGCTCAGATGAAAACAGTGACCATCTCATGACTGCTGTGAATTTTTCCTATATTGTTAATTGTGTCTTTCCTCTGCTACGCTAAGTAGGTATACATCTATGTTTAATCATATCAATCTAGTGTTTTGTTTTTCTATTTTTGAGTCATTCATAAAAGTGGTAACTTCCTAATAGACACTATTTATATTAAGAATAATGGTTTAAAATCATAAAGACTTTTTATACTAAGTGTGTAAAACTTTATTTCAAGGTCAAATTTCCTTCAAGTGTTCAGGTTAAAGAAGTAAACCAAAAAAATATCTCCTTTTTAGCATGCATATAATTTTGGATTTTCCAAATAAAATATTAAACCTCAGTAGTTTATGGTTAAGGGCCTACACCTTAAGAGGGACTGGTGGAACAAAATATTTAATTTGACATGAAGACCTTAAATTTTTCCAAATATTTCTGTTTGTGAAAAATTCCTCGGGATCAAAAATCTATTGCACTTCTCTCGAATATAACTATTTATAAAATATTTTCCAAATGATTCTCTTAACTTACACATTTTTATTTTTTGCCACAGTTTTGAATGAAGTGGCACGCTGAAGTTAAGTCAATAAGTTATTGTTAAGATGAAATTTCCCAGTGCCAAAACATTTTACAGGGTGCAAAATATTGTGCTATTAAAGGAACAACGATTCTTGTACCTTAGAATTAGTCCACATGCATCACTCCATGTCATTTTAGAACAGTGCATTTTACACTGTGAAAGTATTGTTTCTTGTTATAATTCATGTACATAAATGTAGGAAAATAAACACATTGTGTATGTTGTTTGAACAGCGTGTTTTACTATAAATTTAATTACAAATTATTTCAGTATTTTCTAAGGCAATTAAATCAAAGATCATTTTTTATAATTAAAAATCCATTTTATTCCAATACAATTTTTACATTAATTGCTACTCTTCTATAACATTATTTATATACTAGTTAATTCCATTCAACAGTGGATTTAACCACTGATATCTTAACTGTTTTCTCAAGGTCTTTGTATCCATTCTTGATACATCATTAGCAAAAGTCTCTGATGCTTCTAATAGTGTATTATCAATTTCCACAAGTTTTGACCTTAATAGTTCTCCATTTTCCTTTAAGTAAGTTGCCCCAATATCTTTTTCCGTTGGTTCTCCATAAGGGTAAGTAATAGGGGTAATTTTAATCAAATGCTTAATTTTCCACAATAGTGCATTATTCTGTGGTGTGTTTTTAACAATGGCGATATCACTTGCCTGAAAATACAAATAATACCTGAAAAATTTTACATTGTGGAAAGAAAACAATGGTTTAATAAAAGCTCCAACTCATAAAACCTCTCAGAAAACTGAGCAAGTTCGATTTCAGTAAAGAAACAAGTTTCACTAGGCACCTGGTTCAAGCTGATCACAGGCTGAGATTCAAGTTTGTAATGAAACAATACACACTGAAGTGAATTCATTTTAAATAGTTGGTCTTTTCAGAAGTAAATTGTTACAAAGTAATGACAGTTTAGAATCACATAATTTTATCAAAGATCCTAACTCAAAGAATTGTTTTTAATTTCATTGTTACTTATGATGGCAGAGTAACTATTCAACTAAATGTTCCAATTTCACATTGTTTCTTGTTTTATGGTTTGATCCAGCTCACCATAATGTTAGGAAATTTGCATGTTAATTTAATCTGAACATATCATGTGTTTAGATCCTGAACCTCAAGAAAAAGTGTGTGAAAGGATTTTAAGCACAATAATTTAAGAACAGATTTTATCGTTCTTGCACCATTCAGGCTGATAAATTTAAACTTGTATTTTATGTTCAGAAGCAATTTTGCCATCCATCATTGCCAGCATACCTTGTCCATTAATCCCAACTGTAACAGTACATCTTTCTCCCAATATGGTGTACCTCTATAACGTTTCACTCGCTGAACCATAAATAGCTTTGATTTCTCTAATGGTGGATCTTCCTCTTCTGGAAACCTGAAAATAGCGGTGAGAAATGACACTTTCTCATAATAAAAAATTATTTAATGCATAAAATAAATCTGAAAATTACCTTCTAAAATAGGTAAATCCTGGACATTTAACAGCTTTTTTTGCACTACTGTAGTGTCTCTGTAAACTGCAACACTCTCGAGGATTTATTAGATTCTTTAGAACTTGAGAAATCATTGCTTTTTCTTTCAACGTTAAACCGACTTGACTGCTTTTACATATAATGCACACGATTTAGCACTTTTCTCCGATCATGTTTTTAACATCACATTTCATGTTTTACAAGATTTCAGAAATGAATCAAATTAACCTTCTGATTAAGATACTACAGACCTTAGGCAACACAATGACATACGTTCACTTCAGGTGATTGTCCTACGATGAAGAATATCATAACCCCAAAACACAGACTACACCCCAAATCAGAACACATCCAGCACTAGTTAATATTTGCAATGGTTTGCAAGTGCAACATGCAATATTCTGCATACAGCAGGTTGTGCAATATGATGCAAGTATCAGAGAGTATATTAGCAAGTATATCCAAGAGTAGTGGTTAACTATTCACTATTGATAACCTTATAATAGTCCTTTTTAAGCGTTCTTCTGTGAGAATTTAATTGAATATTCTGAATATACTAAATGTAGCCATATTAATACAACGTACGAGAACGTATGAACGTAAAATACTTCCTTCACGATTTCTTCTATTATCACTAAGTTGGCGATTATCTATTTAGAAACAAGAGAGTGACGGTGGCCGCCTGTCTGACCCAGCATGCAAAGACAGACTTTCCACCAGTGGATTTATTCTGCCCGAAGCGTGTCATCGGTGCTGTGAGTTTGGAGCATATTGTTACAGCTTTTGCTAATTTATGAAGTTATTTGGAGTTTTGAGTTTCGTTTTTTGACATAATGCCACCTAAGAAAAGTAAGGGAAATAAGAAAACGCATGATGATGACGACTTTGAAGAGAAACCGAAGAGCAAAATTACCGATGAAAATGAACAGGTAAATTCCAAAGTCTCGAAAACATCAAAGAAAAAAGGTAAAGGAAAAGGCAAAAAAGATGATTGGAGTGAAGATGAGGATGTCGTAGATATTAAGAAGAAAGGAAAAGATTCTGATGAGGAAGACGAAATACCTCAGCCAGCTAGGAAGGACAAAAAATCTAAGACACAGAAAAAGGTTAGTGATGAAAGCGACATTGATGAAGACGATGGTGTGTCTGCGAAAGGTAACAAACAGAAAGCACAAGCTTTTGATAGTGATGATGATGTTTCCTTCAAAACAAATAAGAAGGACAAAAGAGCAAAAACTAAAAAGAAAGGTGAAAATGAAAGTGTTGAGAATGGTGTGAAAGGTGTTGGAGATACTAGCAAGCAGGCAAAACCAATTTCAAAAAAGAATCAGAAAAGCAGAGGCAAGAAAGATGAGTGGAGTGAAAATGAAGATGATGACAATAAAGATTTTTTGAAAAGATTATCTGAATCAGAAGATGAACTTCCAGTTGCTCGAGTGACTAAGAAAGATAAAAAGAAAGTGAAGAACAAAAAGAAAATTGAAGTAACAGAAAGCAATGATTCTGAATCAGAAGTGAGTGATCAATTGAATGATTCTGAGAGTGAAAATGAAGCACTGTCTAAAACATCATCAAAAGGAGCAAAGACAGATAACAAAAATAAGAGCAGCAATGTAGATAACATTGATGAAATAACTGAAAGAGTGGAAAAAGTGGAGTTGCAAGAACATTCTGATTCTAGTAGTAAAAGAAATGTTAGTGAGAAACAGAAATCCGTGAAGTCAAAGGACACTCGAGAAGTTGATATTTTGGATAATGAAAGCAGTAATAAAATAAAGCCAGCTATCAAGTATCAGAAGCCTGTGAAAAGTAAAGAATCATCTCCAGCAGAGGAAGATGAAGACATTCCAGAAAAAGATAATACAGAAATGCCAGATGCTGGTGATGGTACACCAGGTGAATGTTTTTAATTACCTTTTAGAATTACACTGTAGATTGTGTTCTCAGTAAATATTTAAATTGGTTATAAATCTGTTTTCATTGAGTTTGGACTAATTTGATGTTTGTTAATTTCCAGGATCTGCTGTGAAGAAATTGACTCATAAGGAAAAGAAAAAGTTAAAGAAACAGGTTTGTAGAGATGCCTTGTAAAGGTTACTGAGGTTGGGAAGGTTGAGTGGTACATTTGAAATTAGAAATGATTCTTTCCTTTAGATGGAATATGAGAAGCAGATGGAAACTTTAACAAAAAAAGGTGGACAAGGTCACAGTGAACTGGGAGAAAATTTCACTGTCTCACAAGTGCAGAAAACTGCTGGGCAGTTACAGGCCCTTGAAAATGCTGTGGATATAAAAGTGGAAAATTTTAGCATTTCTGCCAAAGGCAATGACCTTTTTGTAAATGCTACATTACTTATTGCCAATGGGCGGCGATATGGTCTGGTGGGACCAAATGGGTAATGTATTGAAGCACAAATTGAATAGTTTTCATTCTCTTTCTGAGTTTTTTATTTTCTAGAAATATTCAATTATATATCAGGACAAATGTATCCTCCTTTCCGGTGAATATACTAAAAGCTTATCCAAAAACTTCAAAATTGTTCCTAAGGATCATTACAAGTTTTGAGTATTAAAGAAAATAATTTGGTGGTACTTCTTTCATGTGACAATGTGTTATGTTTTTTGAATTAGTGTGGATGTATTTCTTTTAGACATGGAAAAACAACTTTGCTACGACATATTGCTTCTCGAGCTTTTCCAATTCCACCAAGCATTGATATTTTGTGCTGTGAGCAAGAAGTTGTTGCAGATGATTTATCTGCTGTAGAGACGGTTTTGAAAGCTGACGTTAAGAGAACAGAACTCTTGGCAGAATGCAAGAAGTTGGAAGCAGAACAAGAGAAAGGAAACTTAGAAGTGTCATCAAGGTTGAAAGAGGTATATATGACAGATATGAATGGTTTGTGTTTATTATTCTGATGTCCCAAGAGAGTTCTTTGGGTTGAAGTCTAGTATACGGTACAAATTACGGAAGTTTTTTAAACCAGCACTTCGCGCCGCTCCAGCGGAAACTGCGCAGTTTGAATTCTGGAGGGTTTCTTGAAAAGTACTTTTTTGTAAGAGTGAATTGGTAATTATGCAGTGGGTAGACTCAAGGATGTTTATAGTGAAAACAAGGTCCTAAGGCCCGAGCCTCGCCATGACAGGGATCCGGGCAAGTGAAGCAAGAAAACTTGCCTTTGAAAGTAAATTGGCATTACAATGCGGCGGGGACAAAGCATATGAAGGGTGAGCCATAAAAATCGCCCGTAAGTTTTATTCATTTCTATCAGGGCGCGTAGCGTAATTTAAGGGAGGGCTTAAGGAGACCTCTCCCCACCGCCACGCTTTTCTAAGGGTGTACCATGTACCCTACTTTAACCGTTCTTTGTTATCAAGTTATTTTTAACACCGAAAGGACCGGTATCACCATCCAAGAGAGTGATATTGATCACAAGTATATTTTTGGATCAACATTGGATTAAAATATTTTTATATCTATATTTTATACACACACGCACACGCACACTCTCTCTTTGGGTGACAATGTATGGCAGCTGGCAAGAGTATGTGGGAGGTCTGAAAAGCTAGACCAGGCCAAAGAAATAAGAAAACTGACTAGTGTGAGAAAGTCTGTGCCATTCAGTACCACTAGTTTAATTTAAAAATGATGTGCTTGAAGTTGATATTAGTTCACAAAAAAATGCATTTCAATTTCTGTGGTCCATGTCATGACCAGTGAGGCTGAGAATAATGACACAGTTTGTTCATTTGTCTTATGTCTTCATGCAGAATTTTTTGTTTCTTCATCTGCTGGATTATGCCTTATATTGTGGATTCATTGATGTGAACGTGTCCTACTTACGTACAATTTCTTCAATGTAGGCTGCTGCACTGTGAATACCTTTATTTTCTCACCTTACAAATTCTTCGTAAGAATAAAAAATTATGTAATTGTGCGTCAGAAAACGCCGAATTTTCTCCAGAAAAAATCTTATTGCCGGGTTCTGGTAAGGAAAAAGTGAATAAATTGTGTTGCTAAATGTAGGAAAAAATTCCCCTAACTTTTGTGTTACCAGAATCCATGTTTTGTTGGTTCTTGATACCGGAAAATCAGTTGACGGCCTATGCTGTCACTTGCAAAATGTCTGTCTGGCCATCTGTGGTCAATGCTAGCGGATAACGTTCAGACGATTTTCTCCAAACATGATATTCCCCAATCAATCTGGTTGGTGTTGCGGACCCTGGAAATTGCAACGGATATTTTAATTTTGGGGGATACTGTACATAAAACCTCTTAGACACTTAGAATTTTCAAAAAAATTGTCCCAAATTTTTTGATTAAATTTCGTTGTTCAATAGTGCAGACAAAGATGGTTGTACAATATTACCTATTTAGAAAAGGTTGTGTAAAATGTTTTGAAAAAAAGAGTAGTTTGTGCATAATCTGAGCTTGAAATATACAAAAAAAAATGTTCTCAAGAATCGCACCAAATTTTTTTAAAAAATTTTCCTCACCTATGTAAAAGGGACGGTAAGAAACGTGGTGCTAGTCCCATTTTCGGGTATTGCTCATTGTTTTGAAAAATTGCGTAAAAACATTTCAAAACTGCAAATTTGAAGACAGATTTTTGTGTCAGACAAAGTTTGTTGTACAAAATTAGCTATTTAAATAAATAAATGAATGAATAAATAAATAAACAAATAAATAAATAATTAAAGAAATAAGGAAATAAATAAAGAAAGAAAGAAATAAAAAACTAGTTGTGCTGTAGAATAGCGCAAACCTTCTTGCTCTAGTTAGTTTTCTGTTCTGTCTACTCTTGACTACCTTTTCTGATGGTCATCATTGACTTCTCTGCTGTTTTCTTTTGTTGTTCGAAAAACAAACATTTTCACATTTTCTTAATTACTCGACTCTGTAATGCTACAACTAAAACCAGCATACACTTATTACTATTACAGAAGTATTCATTGCACGTCATAATTGGATAGCCTGGATAATTCCTGAAAAATTATTAATAATCACTTGAAGCAATTCTAAGCACAAATACTATTAATCAAGATATATAAACTGGAAGTGCCTGCATGTGATTTTCAAATTTTCAACTTTAAATGATTTTTCATTTATCTTTATGGGATTTGTAAAATGTATGAAACATCAAATCAATCTTTCAGCACTTATGACTATTATAAAAGTGCCAATTCTTTGTGTAACCTAGGTGGCTGAATTTGAATGTTGGATTCGGACTCAGCATTTCAGAGGGAAATGCTGCTGGTTTGAGCCTGGCTTGGGGGTAATTGTTTGACACTACTCTCTGTTGCTGTAAAAAACTATTGAGAATTTCAGAAACGTTATTAAAAATCATTGGGAGCAATTCTACTGACATATGCAATCCATTAAGATTGTCAATAAACTGAAACTGTTTGCATTAACTTTAATAAACTTAAACAAGTTTACAATTCTCTTGTCCTATTTGTAAAACATATGTCACATCAAATCAATTTGTTCAATATAATATTTCCAATTGGGTTCCATTGCAAAATGTTTTGTCGTATTCACGGGATACATGGCCTCATTCACTGTTGGTCATGTTTTGGGACTTCCTCGGGTGCCTCATCAATCTGTTGCTCAGCAATACTTGTAGAGATAGAGTTTTGTAATATTGGATTTGGGACTGTTTTAGTTATTTCTGTGGTCAGTTCAGATTTATACAATTTCTTGAATCTTTACTATCAGTATTATAACAATGGTAATAGTAATGAGTCTGAATTTCAAAGTGTTGATCATCGTGAACTATTAGACCATCTAAGTTGAAATTCATGAGAATATTCAAAATTTTCTACTCATTTAGCTCTAAAAGCAGTTAAATCAATGAACTTAATATTTCATGGCCTCAAATGAACTGCTATAATATATATGAATACTAGTGACCTGCAGCGGCAAAAATTCTACTGAATAAAACCATACAAAATGGTTTTCCAAAATATGACAGGTACAATTCTAAAGTACAGTAGAACCCTGGTAATCGGAACTAATTGGCGCTGTGATCTGTTCGGATTTGGAAATGTTGAGATTATCCGAAAAATGTACTGTACATGTACAAACACATGTATAGCATTACCAGACAATGCAATGTGAGAAATGGTGATGTAGCATTGCTACCACATCATCACATCATCAAGCAGATTCAGTTCCTTACGACAAAAGAAGATTACCGATTTTCTAAGTTCCTCTAAGTGAAAATTACTGCTACATAAATCAGTGTTGTGTGTTGTTACCAGTGTAATTAATGTTTCACTTCGAGAAGTTGTGTTTCAATAATTATTTATTCAGTTCTACAGTAATTATAAAATCCTTTCTTTACACTGCAAATAAGCATTTTATTTATTTTGTTTTAGTTTGTAAATTTCAGATTTGCAGGGTTCGGATTAGTGAGGTTCTACTGTATAAGAAATAAAATACTCTTGTGCAACACTGCAATAAACTAAATGTTGTAGCAAAAAATGTTTTTAAAGAATACTGCAATAACATAGTATAGTATATATTCAGTACAATTTCTTTATTTACTGAATTTATCTAAAAAGACGCTGTTCCATTACACACTTGAATAGCATATATTTAAGGTCGGCAGTCTCTTTCTTGTAACCTTGCTGTGGCATGGCATCAGCTGTTTTGTGAGTAGAGAACTGAGAATGAGAATTCAGTCTATACATGCAATAAGCAGAAAAACACAATAAAATATTAGCATTTTCAGTCAAAATCAACTCTGCCTCATTGTTTTTGGTTTTTCCTGAGATTCTGACTATTTAACGAACCCATATGCACCTCATGCATGCCTCTTTCAATTTCTGTGTGCATTGGAAATTGGTAATATAGATACCGACTTCAATGGAATGTGTAGTAAAGAAACTACAGAACAATAGAGGATAGAAGTGCACCCTCAATGTTAAACGTTGGAAACAAATGCAGTGCTCCAAGTGGCCTGGCAAAGCACTACATAAACCAAAGAACTACATCTGCGATCTTCCATTACATGTGAACTTTTCTGATGGTTTTCTGTGTGTAAACCTCATCTGCTGTGCTTCTGCAACCATGCTTAAGCTCATTAATCCAGAGTAAATTGTCTTCAGAGTTCATGCATAGTCCTGATGTATTTCATCTAATTTGGTTTTGATCTGTGCGGTAGTCCAACCCTTCAAATATAAATGTTTAATCAGAGCGGGAAACTGTTTTGTCCATCTCCTTCACCACATGTCAAATGAGTGATTGTGAAAGCTTCTTGGCATTGGTCAAGCACAGAGAAATGATGTTATTTCTGATAGTCTAAGAACCCTAATCTTGCTGACTACACGATTATTCAAAAACTCCAGCACAACTAATGAGATGATGACGATGGCGATGACGACGATGAAGATGACGATGACGGCGAACTCTTTCAGGTTTCACTCTTTGGCTACAGAGGAAAGAACATGCCTTTCCTTAACTAGATGAGATTTGTCTACTGCTTCTGTCATCAGGTGTATGGCTAATATTGCTGAACTACCAACATCGGCAGTTGAAACACAACAACACTTTGAATTTCTCATTAGGTTTAGCAATGACTAGATGTTGACAAAGATCCTGAAATGTGAAGATGGAATGGAAAAAAATCCTTGTGCCTGTGATTGTTACCACCTTTTCCTCATGCTATATTGAAGATTGATTGAAAATTGCAGAACAAGTGACTCAAAGTTAGCAGGGATTAATGATCTTAACATTTTCTAACTTGGGTCTCAACTTTATATAGAATTGCAACAATATGACGTTGTATGAACAAGTCTGAAAAAATTACATGAAAGAAAAAATATAAGCTGGATTGTGACAACAATTTGATGTCATTGAACTTTACAAACCAATGGAAGAGGATCTTGATATATTAGATAATGTCAGTCATTAAAAACAATATAATAACGAGTGTAATAAAAGACCTTCCAATGCCATTTGTATGAAAAAAAATTACGTTTCAGAGAACATGTAGATAAAAGTGCAGTCCATTGGCTCAAAAAACATTAATTTTCTTTTTCACATTATTAATTTCACATAATTCGCGAATTTTCCCTTTTCCAATTAAAAAGTAAAATGATTCCTAATGTGCTATATTTATTTACACACAACTTTGTTTGATGTAAATTACATATAAGATTTAATAAATGAGGGAGGGTAAGTAGAATACCATTTACACAGAAATATTTCTGCATATTTTGATTGTAGAAAACTCTTGAATTTATAAAATATAGTTAATTTTATTCTCTTTCATTTCATACCTTGTTTCGGTGTGCTCTTGCAGCTTATCCCTGTGTTACGTACTTAGGTTCACATTGCACTGTTAGGCGTGTGGGGGACAGGTGACACTCGCCTATTAAAATGTTCTTAAGAAAGAGGAATTGTTTGTAAGTAATGGAGCTTTCATTTATTTGACATAATATTAATTATGGATAATGCTTTCGATTTTTTGCAGCATTCCACTTAGTGCAACAGACTTTTTTACAGACCACTAGACTGATTTCCTTGCATGTTACACAAATGTCTTTCAAATGTTCTCCACGTATGCATCTCTTACATTTCAAGCACCATCTCCTTGTTTGTTTCATTCTCTGGAGCATGATAGCTTTTGAAAGTCAACAGTTCGCTCTTCCTCAACACCAAATAACACTCAGCCTCCTTATATGATCTGGAACTTGAGGAATAGGGCATCAGCATTGTATCTTTTGTTTAATAATTTCTCAAGGAATGTCCTCCGAAAAATCTCCTTTGTGACAACTAAGATGAATTGGTATTGAATTTCAGAATACAAATCCAAAACTTTTCCGTATTTTATACCTCTTGAATAAACTAGATATTGCAAGAGCTGTAATATAGTACACAAACGGTTAAGTTAAAATGAAATGAAATAGAAATATAGAAATTTGTCATCAGTTTCATTAAACTTGAATAAACTATTCAAAGCTCTATTCATTTTAGTAGCTTAATGCTTAGAGCGAGCTAGGGTGTAAATCAGGAGCTTCAGTTTCGATTCTAAGTCAGGTGACAATTCTTTGAACAATTTGAATTAGAGAAAATTGTTTGTATTTTCATTCTTAATCATTCATAAAAGTCTTCAAAAATATTTTTATTTCACCAAATTTTGTAAGAAGATAACATGGAAAAGGTAATGTCCAAGTGATTAAAATTACTGTCTAGTTTTAAGTGTGTGTTTGAGATTTTCTGATTTTACATCCTCATGATTTTCCCTTCATCAAATCATAACCACCTTTCCAAATATGCCAGTGAGATGTTGTCAGCATTGAAATAGTTATGAAAATTGATGTAGTTTGGTGAAATTCTCACTATTCATAATTCTCAATTTGTAGACTAGTGAATCTTTTCGGGGGTAGGTGTAATCATGCTGAACTGACTTAGCCTAATCATTCAAATGAAAATATAAATATTTTTTAAGATAATATCAATTAGAATTACTATTTTTCCTTCAAATTATTTTTTTAAACTTCAATAGGTTTGCTTTTCTCTTAAATGGGTTGAAACATTTTCTTCTAAAACTTTTGATGTTATATCAGATTTCTTTTCTTTCTTCTCTCGTTCCTTGTATCCCATTATTCTGATTAAGAAGTCTCTCGTACACTGCTCCTCTGGTGCGAAAGTTCCATCACTAAATCTTCAGCAATAGTCTTAAATTTTTTTGTGGCATTTGATGATCCTTCTCATGTATAGCTCAAATCAGGCTTTGCTTTAATTTCTTTTCTGTACTGATCAAATATTTTATGTTTATATGACACACAGATCTCATTCCACCAGCAATGTTTTCAAAGATAAGCATGTTCAACTGTATTGAGAGATTATAGCATTAGGCACTAAAAGATTGTTGTGCCAAGATTCAATAAAATTGAAGAAAGTGAGCATGGAAAGGGCTTTTTTTGTGGCAATTTCAAGTAATAGAAAGCTGAATGGATTAATCATTGCACATTCATGTCAGTTTTGAGGCAGACATTTTTGATATTTTGTTTATGTTGCTGTATGTCATTTCAGACATGTTTTGTTTAGTTTTCAGCAATAAGCTTGTGTTCAATTTAGCAGAAAAAGTTTTAACCAGATGTATATTTTTATTTCAGTCAATTTACTTACTGTGTTTTTAGATTTTTTTTAAGAATTTTATTTATTCAAAGAGACAGGTTCACTGATACTTGTATGATGGAAAAAAGGAAATATGAACTATAGTGATTCACTTTCAAGTCTTGTATCTTCTCTCTAAAGGTAGTAATAGTTATCTTTGTGAAATTAAACCGACTTTCTTGGTATCCTCTGAAGCAGCAGTCATTAACCTTTTGTGGAAAAATTTTTTAAGAAGATAAAATAATAAAAGTAATAGTCAGAGAACTGCCATATCATTACAAATAAAATGTACCTGTATCAGAAAACCATGTCTTTAAAGGTTGTTTTGGTGTTTTGAATGTGTGTAGTTTTAATTATTATAAAATTATTTACACTTATTTATGACATATTAGTGTGATACTTAGTCCTACTGTTTGGAATAAGTTTTTTTTTTTTTTTAACTTTATTATTAATAAAACAAAACCACAAAAAAGTGATGGTCCAGATTTTTCTGATCATCTGTGTGTTGCTCATCAGTTATCTAGCAGAACCTTTGCGATTACATTACACAGAAAGAAGAGTTGTAGAAAAGTTACAGCAGAAAATACTGAAAATCCATGAATATACATATGTTGTATATTTACCAAGATCTTTACAAATGTATATATGGGTATTGTTTGGGCCTATCACAGCAAATTCTCCTATCAACCTTACCTTAATGTAATGACTGAAGTTTTGCCATCACTGAATTTTATATAAAGGGACATGGGTCAGACAGCTAAGTGATATAATTGAGAGTGACATGTCATTTATTGATCATATGTGTTTCAACGCTCACACAAACAAATCTATGGTCTCTAAGCAAGACCAACTGCTCTTCCATTTCCCGAGAAATTGCCAAGTTACGCATGACACAATCTTCCCGTTTCCATTCTACCCACACATTTCAAACATCACAAAGTTGTAAATTTTGAATAAAAGAAAGTTGTGATTAATTTAACATAGAATAATTTCTATTCCTAATTATTTTTTTCATTCTCGTTTTGTTTTGGTATCTCGCTTATTTTAAACTATTTACTGGGAGCCGATTCTAGGAGGGACATCAAAATCGTTCTCTTTACAGCTTTAATATTTATGTTGATTAGTACTCTTAAGGAAGTAATGTAGTTTTAAGTTTTGATCCGTTCTGAACTAACATCAGGATAATATGTGTAATTGGCTTTTAACTCTTTAGGTTTATGAAGAATTAAAAGCAATTGGAGCTGACTCTGCAGAACCACGAGCTCGTCGTATTCTTGCCGGTTTAGGATTTTCTCGTGAGATGCAAAATCGAGCCACAAAGAATTTTTCTGGTGGATGGCGTATGAGAGTCTCTCTTGCTCGTGCCCTCTTTGTGGAACCAACATTACTGTTGCTGGATGAACCTACGAATCATCTGGATCTCAATGCTGTAATTTGGCTTGACAAGTGAGTAGTGGAAATTTTCAATTAGGTTAGAAAGTCAATTAACTCAACGTGAGCCCTAGGTGGAGGCATAGCATTCCAACTCAAGGGAAGTTGATTTCTGTTATATGCAACCATTTATTCCCTTTCCTTGGATTTGCAATGTTTTAAAATGCTGTATTGTTCTGTCAACCATGGGATATGCAATTCAATTCTGGTTAAGTTTGAAAATTCTCTTTTTTATTATCTTCCTTACTCTACAATTTTTTTTATATTGTTCATTTCAATGGATATTTTAGGATTTCAATCATTGGAAGAGAAATTCAATTCTGATAAATCAATAAAAAAATCTGTCGTTCTGATCATTAGAATCCTTCTGGTCAAGAGCACTGATTGATGTAATTGTGCCTCTACCCTCACTGCCTCCCCTCTCTGTCTTCCTCCTCCCTGTAACCATCTCAGCACCGCAAAGGCCAACTTCCCCAAAGCTGACAGTTGCAAGGAGTACAGGAAATTTTGTTGGTTTAATTTAAAATATGTCAGAAAGTATAATTTTATAGTCAAACTACTATAAAAAACATTAACAAACGACACATTATTGAATTTCTCTTTTTGTGATCTACCCAATTCTTCTTCTTCTTCTTATTGTTGTTGTAGTAGTAAAAACCAAGTACACGTTTTTTTATGATGCACATTGCCCAGTTTTGTAAATTTTTATTTAAAATATGGAGGAGCACTGACCATTTGTTTTGAATATTCATTATATATTCTTTGTTGTAGCTACTTACAAGGATGGAAGAAAACTTTGTTGATTGTATCCCATGACCAAAGTTTTCTTGACAATGTTTGCAATGAAGTAATTCATTTAGATCAGCAGAAATTGCATTATTACAAAGGGAATTATAGCATGTTCAAGAAAATGTATGTTCAGAAACGTAAAGAAATGATTAAAGAATATGAGAAACAAGAAAAGAGAATAAAGGAGTTAAAAGCCCACGGACAGTCTAAGAAGCAAGCAGTATGTATTACGTGTAAGATTTTAATCATAAGTAACTTTCTTCATTTAATTGTTTTCTTGTTTATTCCTGAAGGAAAAAAAGCAGAAAGAGGTCTTGACAAGAAAACAAGAAAAGAATAGATCAAAAATTGCTAAAAATGAAGAAGACCAAGGTCCTCAGGAGCTCCTTCAAAAACCACGTGATTACATTGTTAAGTTTTCATTTCCGGATCCACCACCCCTGCAACCTCCCATTCTGGGGCTTCATAGTAAGTAATGTTTGTATTTATTATATTTACAGGTTGGAAACTTTCTGGAAAACTGGGAAAAATCAGGGAATTTCATTGCTCTGAAAATGTCAGGTTAAATCAGGGAATTTATGGAAGAATCTTTAGAAGGCAGGGAAAAGTTTGAAATTGTTATAAAAATAAATATTATTCCCTTTTTGTGAAAGAAAAAAAAATAGAACAGCATTATTTTTTCTTCTATTTCTGTTTGTCAAGTTTGTTTTTATTTGTTCTTTATGACTGCAAAATCAGAAAGCCAACAAATTAGTTTCAGGTTTTCTTTAATAATTTTTTAAAATAACATGAAATACTGTACAAATCTTATCATTGAAATGTTTAAAAAATGCTGTGGAAAACTTGGAAACGTCAGGGAAATTTGTTTCAGGAAAAGTGTGGTCAGAAAATCAGTGCTGATTTAGTAATTCAGTTAGTGTTGGTGTGAATAAATAAATTATTTATGTAAAGTTTTTTGTGATTTTTAGATGTGACATTTGCTTATCCTGGACAAAAACCTTTGTTTATAAATTGTGATTTTGGTATCGATTTATCATCTCGTGTGGCAATTGTTGGACCAAATGGTGTTGGAAAATCTACATTCCTTAAATTGTTAACTGCTGATTTACAACCTCAACAAGGAGATGTGAGAAGGAATTATAGATTGGTATGTAAAGATTTTTGTGTAATGCTTATGTACCAGTAAAAACCTGTCAAATGTCATAATAAATGAAATAATACTATAAAAAATACATCTTACAACAAAATACTTTTGAATTTCTTTTGCAGATAAGTAAAATTGTTAGAATTGAGAACCAACTTTCTTTTACTTTGTATGCAATTAGATCAGTAATTTACTTTGCACATTTACCTTTTTGGTCTCCTTTATGATTCTTCTGCAGTTTATAATATGTGATTGCTCCTTCCCCTTGTCCTCACCTCCTTTCAAGGAAGTTACTCTGGGACATTTACTTGAACTACACGATTGTTGTTGATTGCAATGAAAAAAAAATGTGTTCTAAGAAGTTGTTCTTACTTATACACTGGTCAACATCCAGTTTACTGTTTTTATTGACAGGAACTTACATTCGGGAGAGAATATAAAAAATTCATTGTGAACTATTTGAATGTCAATAAATACGTATGTTCATTTCTAGTATTTTTCCTTTATGAATTGGAAACCAAAATACTAAACCAGCCCTGTTTTGCTTTTTCATTATAATAAATGTTTATATATATTATGTATAAATTTTTATTTTTTTAGCGTATAGGACGTTTTGACCAGCATTCCGGAGAACATCTTACTGCTGAAGAAAGCCCTGCTGAATATTTAATGAGACTGTTTGATTTGCCATATGAAAAAGCACGTAAACAGCTGGGGACTTTTGGATTAGTCAGTCACGCTCATACTATCAAAATGAAAGATCTGTCTGGTGGCCAGAAAGCTCGAGTAGCCCTTGCTGAATTGTGTCTCAATGCTCCTGATGTTGTAATTCTTGTGAGTATTGTAATATTTTGATTATTAACGAATGATGTACCAAAAATTCCTACCACTTTCTGAAGTCTTCTTATCACATGTTAGTAGATGTTTCATAGGGTAACTAGTCTGTGGACGGGAAATTTCAATTTCAGATTTAATTGAATGATTTTATTTTATTTTTTTTTACCAATTTTTTTTTCTTCTTGAGAATCTTCAACAGCTACTTCTCTATAACAGCTGAAATATTTTGAACTTTTCTCAGAATAATTGGATTATGGCTTCCCTTGGTCTGTTGACTAGATATTTTTGTACCAAACTCTAACAAGTCTGTAGGGAAACTAACAACAGTTAAGGGATATGTTGTTGAATATAATTGTTTTGGGGGAAAATATTTCTTTACATAATTGTGGTACATTTATGCCAGTAACAATTTCTAATTTTGACTAAATTTTAAAAATCAGAAACATTCGACAATATTGAAGTTGTCAAAACCTATTTACCATCTACTGAAGTTGTCCTTAAATAAATCATATACGTACAATAGATATCCTGTTTTTCAGTCAGTTCTGAGTAGTTAAAGAAAAATATGGTATTGTTTTAGAGATATTTGTACATGGATTTGACTGAAGTTGTATTGCAGACCACCTGCATTTAGTAATTAATTAAAATATAACCTGAGTAGCCTGTGATGCATGTCACCATCTTACAATTGTTATTAGGGATGAAGAAAGATGCATGAATATGAACATGCAATTTTCCTAGTTGTATGTGTAACTTGCCAATCTATTGAATGTGGGTTCGCAGATTTGATTCCTATACTGACTTAATTTTTTTTTACACTTTTGGCGTAGAAACTGATGGAAAATCGTGTATTGCATAAACTAAAAGCTCTTTTATGTAAATACCTAATGTAGGCCTACTAAATACCTACTTCGGCTACAATTGAATCTGAGCGAACAAAGGAAGTTGTCTAGACTATGATGTGCTCAAAATACATACAAATATATTTCAAGAACAGAAATGTAAAATTCTATTATTTCAGTGAATTTAATGTGTAAAAATGCGCAAAGTGTTTGCACCTGGATTGGTAGTTTATGTAGAAATATTTTGATAAAATAATTGAAGTTCTTTACTTTTCCAAACATCGGAAAATTCAAAGATCATTTTTTTTAAATAAATAATTTTGTTGCAGGATGAACCTACTAATAATCTGGATATTGAATCAATAGATGCACTTGCTGATGCAATTAACGAATACAATGGAGGTAAGTCATGATCATTGCCAATGTACACTAATATGTATCACAAGCAGATACTTCTTAGGCCCATCCTGGTCCTATACATACATTATTTTCGAAGGTAACCCTTGGACCCTTCTTTGAGTTTGTAACTTTCTATGGGATTAGGGAACCAATTCCTCGGTGTGCTCAAGATCTCTAGATGCCTCAGTGCACAAAACTTGCCAGTAAGCCCAGGGATTTGATGAGGACTAAGGTCTCACAAGATGTCTAGGAACAGACAACTGAAAACATCCATACTTTATGCAGGATTGGAATCCACAGCTGTGATGTCAGTATATTTGACTGCACCTTCAAACTCCTGCACTACCAGAGGCACCTCTAGTAACACTACCATTCACAACTAGATCCCGTAGTGGCAACTGGACTGCATTGTCTTTGAGGTTGACAAAGACGCATGACTACATTCATGGCTAAAAGAGAGGGCATTAGATTCCAGCCAGATAATTAGATTACCCATTAGATAACCATGTGAAACAACAACTCTAATGTAATAATTTCGAGAATATTTGCTTCTTTTCATTTTTTTATTAAGTTTAATTTTTAAAAAAACTGTCATGTTAATTGTCCAGTTTTTCTAAGGTAGCTGTAAACTTAATTTGAACTTCCTCTAGTGGTCTTGGTCGATGATTGTTTTATCATCTGTGAGTATGAAAAGGATGGTGTTATTGTCATTAGGTTGGTGAGATATGAAGTGACGAGTCCAAACACTTCCTTGGAAGAATTCATTTTTCTGGGTTCTTGTTGAACTATTTTGTTCTTTATCAAAGAAACAATTGTTTTTGCCGGAGACAGACACAAAATTCGCCAAGGAAAGGTCTTATAGAAATTTTTGTAGAAACAGCCTACAGAATTGTAGGCTGAAAGATATATAAAGACTATGCCAGTGATCAGTTTCCTCTCAAAACTATCCTCTATTTATTGAATCAGGTTAAGGAATTTAGCAGGGCTAGCTTTGACGAAATCCTGCCTGAATCTTTAAGAGGCTGAATCTTAACGATTAACAGGCTTCAAAATTGCATTAACTTTTCAGTCACAACAGGAATCTGCATTGTGAAAACATATGTATTCATATGTAAGGTTTGTGATGGTGGGAGCTTTTTATATGTTTTGTTAAGTTTTCAAGTTGCTTTCCTGAGTACATGGCATTCTTTAATAACATTAATGGACATGATCATAGCCTCTATCCCTTAACTCTGCTGTGCCTTGTAAGTGTATTGCAGCCGAGAACTGTATCCTGCCTGCAGTGGCTTGTAAGCCAGTTGCAACCCTTAAACCTTGTTACAGTTAGGGAGTTTTGGAGGTACTTCAGATGGAGCTCATGAAGTTGTCTCTTAAGATCATTGTGGAGTTTGGCCCAGGTTCACAGGCACTCATACTTTTTACACGCACACCACTTGCACACACATATGCACATGTGATCACATACATGCACATATGCACTTGCATGCAGATACAGGCACATGTGCATGCACACACCACTCATAGCATGCATGCACACTTCATATACCACACCCTACAACACACACAAGCATGCACATACCACATACCAAAACCATAAACCACTCACTATACACTCATCCCAACACACACTCACACATGCACGTGCATGTGTGACTTGCATATATTTCCAGGCAGAGAGAGGAATGGGATGATACACGGTTATAATACTTTGGGTGTGGGGTTGTTTTTGAGAGTCATCAGCGAACATGGCACTATTCTGTTTCAGATCTAGACTTACTAATACCTTTCTTGTTTTCTGTTGGTTATAGCTAATAACTACTGTCCATCTTTCTTTTTCACTGTTTGTTACTTATACTAATGAAGCCTTCCTCATTTGCCTACGATGGGATTCAGATAAATGTTGTTATCCCTTCAGAATATTCATCCATTTTTCAACCAAAGTAGCGATGAAAGAGTTTTTGTAACATAGTTAATGGAATTTGTGTGTGTGTGTGTGTGTACAATAAAAGAAATCGATGAAATTCTTACACATGAAAAGCTTGTATTGCAATTCATATTGTGTGCTGCTAACTCTATTCTCTATTTCCAAATTGCCTTAAGCATTTGTTTCGCACTGTCTCTTGTGCTTAGATTTGACTAGTCTACTTAGTGCTACTACTAGTATTCAGTTTTCAGGTCCCCAAAATCAACAGTTGTACATAGTACAGGTTTCACAAGAAATAGGCACAGTGTCAGTGAGAGTTCATAAAGTGTGTAGATGATTTATTGGTGAAGATCAGAGTAGTAGATTTACTGGCTGAGAAGCAATGTGTCATTAAAAATGAAAAATATATTAATTAATTAATTAAGGAATTGTGTCATTTCTAGTATCTGGGTCAGAAGATATAAATAGGTATTATCTGGAGACAAACATGGGCCTTATTGACAGACTTTAAATTGTATAAAGTCTTACATTGCTAGTCTGTTAATAAAGGTGAATGTTATATATAAAAAAACAGACATTAATATATCAATATACAAATTGGTATTAATGGGAGGCAATTATGTTAATTGTATTGTATTGCTTCATTTCCTTACAAATTTACTCAAAAGTTTGAAGTTGCTTGACTTTAACCACACCTATGAACTCTGAAGCACCTCTCTAGTATTAATATATCATTAAATCTGAATAGTGAACAGAACATCTTCAATTTTACCTCTATGTGGTTATTCTAAATTTAGGTTTCTTAATCCTAGAACATTGTAATTTTGAAGGCTTTGAGTGCAATGGGGTCAATGGGATTTTGAATCCTGAATTCAATGAAAGGGAAATGAATCTAATCATATATAGTTTGTTAGGGTAACATGTCAATGATTAGATTATGTCAATGAATTTGCTACGTTATTATTTTTTCTTTCAAGAAACTATTATATAATTTGAAAATATTAATGAAGTACTGAATACCTTGGTTCACAAAATGAATTACAGAAGAAAATTATTTGCATTTCTCACATTAATTCTGCTCTTATTCCTTTTGTATAATACATTTCATATTTAAATCCACATGTATACTTTGTTTCTCTTTGCATGTTTTTCAGTAGAATACTAATATTAATAAGTAAATATGCGAGATCTATGTAATGTATGTAATAAGTAAATATGCGAATTTTAAAACTAATTTTATTTATTATCAATTGTTATGTATCACATGTTATGTAAAACTAGAGAAAAGTCAAATTTTATAAATTTAAATAAAGTAGCGAATCTTTCGAGGTCTTTGAAATGAACCTAATTAAATCTACAGTTTTGTGGCAATTTCACTTGGGCAGAACTCTCCGTTGCCAAAATTTGCAACTTCTTCCAGTCCTATCTATAAGTTTTGACCAAAAAGTGCAAAACCACTTCCTCGATTTCACCTGTTATTGACATTGACACTGCTGTTGATAGTTTTAACACTTTGAGGTGCAAAAGCTCCCTATTCATTGCAGTGTTATATAATTAATTATGACTTATTGAATTCATCTTTTTTAACAGGTGTTATAATTGTTTCTCACGACGAACGACTCATTCGAGAAACAAGTTGCACACTCTGGGTAATAGAAGACCAGACTATAAATGAAGTGGATGGTGATTTTGACGATTACAGAAAAGAACTCCTGGATAGTCTTGGTGAAGTTATAAATAATCCTAGTATAGCAGCCAATGCAGCAGTTAAGCAATGAATGTTTTTATCTGATGTTAAAGTAAAATTTGTAAATACAATCTTTCTGTGAAATTTTGAAATTATTGTTTTTTGAGTATTTTGGTAAATATGTCTGGTATTTGCATCATGGTAATATTTTTATATTGTATGGAAATGTTCTAATTTTTATCACGTTGTTGAAAATTCATTTCTTCTTGTACATAAGGCTCTGGTGTATGGCCTAATGCTATAGCTGTATATGAAAAGGTAAATTTCCTTTACTTGTCAAAATTATTGTTTGATATCCATTCTGTGTCTTCTGGATCAATCTCAGAATTTTATAACTAATAAATTAGTATTTATGCAATGTGTATTTTAGTTTTATTATTTCATCCCCATTCAAGAAGAAATATAAAGAAATTTGAAATGGCATGTTTTACGTATCAAGTATATTGGCTTGTGTGGTCCTTTACCTCTTATATTTATTAGTGAGGGAAAGAAAATCCATAAACTATCTATTCAAACACACTAAGCAATTTATTTTGAGTCCAATGCTTAATTAAGTAGGAAGATGTGACTTTGAGGACCAGTTCATTTCAATAGAAAATAAACTTTGTAATTTATAGTATTGACAAACATCATTTTTTCTGGTAAAAGTGTCTGAAGTAATCCTGTCTTAATTCTTTGAAGAAAATTGCCCAGGATGTACAACATCATTTTTGTACAGAGAGGGGGCAGCACAGACATATTAATTGATGAGTGGAATGAATCTTCACTTAAACATGGTCTGAACAAATACAAAGAATGCTCTAGGGAGAGTTTTCTTTTCCAAATTGCTTGATTTGATACTTCTGAAGTTTGGAAATGTTCATATATTTACTTATTTAGCTAGTAAACTTATGTTGATAAGTTTCAGGCATTGGGCAAAAAAATATATCATACTTAAATTATCTAGACTAATAATTCACAAAATAAAAACATATTAATATTTGAAAATACAAAAACCTTCATAATGACACTTGTCGGATGTTCTTTCAGGCTACGACCACTACTATCCCAGACTATGGTGTTAGACTTAATCTGAATGCTCCCATACGTGTTGTTCTAAAGAGTACATTCTTTCAGAGAATTACCAGACGGCTTATTAAAGAAAATTTGTATATTTGCAATCTTCTATTATTGAACATACTGTTCCATTCTCCCAGACAAATGAATGTAAATGAGCAGTGTAACAAGATGGTTTTATTTTTTTGGCAAAAACATGAAGCATTGTCCAAATATTTGTAGTTAGTTAAAATGAACATTAAATGTTCATAATCTGTTTAAAATTATACTATCAAACGTAAAATGGAAAAAAAATGCGATAAATGCTTTCAGACCCGGTTAAAACTTTCATTTTCTCTTACATTTCTTTCTAAAATAATATTTTGAATCCACAAAAACAGACGTGTATGACGCGCCACCTAGGGCTGGCCTAGAGACCCTAGGCGCCCACTGGAGCGAACCGCTACATCACTTCTGAGCCACTGGCGGGTTGCGCCGTTCGCTGCCAGTGCCGCCAGGCACGGCTCGATCAGCAGCAGCGCACTGTCGGTAGTACCGACCAGAGAGTATAGGTACCGACTCGGTACGTCGTTGGGAAGGGCTTTACTGTTTCGCCACCCATGGAGCTTGGTGGAAAAACGTATTAGTTCCTCCGGCGCACCGATGTTTGCTCGTTCTGCGCAGTACCAGTTTGCGTCACGAACCACGTGACCACAGCACGGGCACTTCGTTTGAAAATCCAGACTCGATGCTGTCCGTGTTGCATGGAGAGCGAGAAGTGTTGAGAAACGTTTTGAAAGTGATTATTATTATTATTATTATTATTATTATTATTATTATTATTATTATTAGCCCGTTTAATCCCTATTAGGACCAAAGTTTACATTAATAAAGTTTTCCTCGGGGACGTATAAGCATGGAAAAACTCATTAAAACTGTTTTTATGGATTTCTCCAGTTCTATCTATTTTGACGATCTTCGCAACACTTAATCATGATTACCTAGCAGTTCCCGAAGTCATCGGCTTATCTATACTATGTTGGTCTTACCAACTTTCCTCTTCCCTATTCGTGGGTCCCAGGAAGTAGTTCTGGAAGTTCCATCTGGTCATTCTTGGAGTTTGAGATATCGGCCCTTTCCCCACATCCATTTTAGCTGATGAACAGTCCAAGATAGTTTATCGTGAACGTATTCTATTATTTTGTTCTGTATTGTTTTATTCTTTTCTCTTCTCTATTTGTCAGTTATTTTTGTTTTTGCCAAAGTTTATTTATAACCCAATTTTCTTGCTGTGTGCATCTAGTTCTTGAAGTGTAGTTTGTATTCTTGAAAATTGGTAGATAAGTGACAATTTTCTAGCGGAACAACCATAAAAAAACTCAACAAAATGGAAGTATGCTTACAAATTATTAAAGAAATGCTTCACAAAGCTGTTTGTGTCTGTTGTAATAAAATGCATGAATTGGTATTCTGGCTGGCATTTAAAATTCCGCCAATTATTATGACGAATCTGCGTGTCTTGAAAGCTCCAGGGCCGAATTTACCTACAAGCAAAACAAGCCAGTTGCTTGGGGGGCCCCCATTCTCCAGTTCGCCACGGCACACACCACCCGTTTGTACAATGTATTAAATGTAAAAAAAATGTAACCAAGTAAAAATTTCTATAAAAATTATCAGTTTTCATTTGTATCTGTACAAAAGTACTGTACTATAATACATTTTTATTTAATAAAGATGGAGCTTATTGTTCAGGGGGCCGGCAACACAATTTTGTGATTGGGGCCCCGCACTACTTAAAATCCGGCCCTGCTGAGTTCGGATGACGCTGCGCCAAGAGCCCCCTGCCATGGAGTGCGAAAAAGCTGCTCTCTGTTATCCCCTGGAGCATCCCCCTAGACTCGTGGTATGAACTCGCTCGGCCTTTTAAGTTGGACGGCACCGAGGCTGGAACAGCGAGAGTTGAAAGGCACGCATCCTTTACTTATTAGAGAGGTCCATAGTTTGAAGAGTCGTTCACGCGATTACGAACGCAGCCATTTCAGGACGCCTAGTCGGATCTGGCGCATATAGTTTCACGTGTGGGTTGGACGAGCGTATTCGAGTCTTTGTTGAGTGAGGAGGCGAATAGTGAGTCAGGAGACGAAAGTGACTTCTGAAAAGTGACACTCGGATTCATCCAGGATCAGTAGTTAAGAGTTGAGTTATTAGTCTTTCGCTTAACAACGTCTGAGGAAAATTAGACTACAGTCAAGATAAATTAACAGTCAGTACATTATCCACCCAAGCGCAGTGCCTTCCCTGGAATCAAAGTTCCCCATAGCTGCCTCCAACTCCATCGGAACAGCACGTGGAAGAAATAGTAAATGCAAGCTGCCAGCGCACAGAAAAACTATTCACTCAGAAAGACTTCAATTTCAACCAATAGGAAATTATTAAAGAAAGGCTCCGTAATCGGTCTTCCAGAGAAACAAAGAAAATACCCGCTTCCAAAGAAGTACCAAGAAAAAATAGAAGAGTTATTTGCGACATCCATTAGGAAAAACAATATAGATTAAGCAAGGATATACAAAGTTCAAAAACCAAATAGAAAATCCCAGTAACGAAGAAGAGATACAAATCCCTCCCCTCGACTATAAAGGATTCTTGTCACATCAGAACAAGTATAATCACCCCCAAAAATTATCAGATCATTCTCTATCTGTTCAATCCTCGTTGATCCTGGTAGAAAGCTGATTTAATGAAATACCTCAACAGAATCAAAAAAATTTGAGAAATCTACCAGCCAACCACATCACCAAAAACCATCAGTTTAAAACCACGAAACGGCAAACACGGATTGTACCAGAACAAATAATTAATTGGGGAAAGTGATTGATTTGCCCCTTAAAAAACATTACTCAAGCCTAAACCACCATAACCCACTCAAACCGTTTTCTTCCTTTGAGCACATGGATATGCAATCCTCACCAAAATGGCGACGAGCAGACTACAACAAATTATCCTATAACGTCAGGAAAGCACGTGAAGGCAGTTTTTCACATACTAACCTAAACCTTGTCAAATTGCATCGGAAGTTCAGCACACAAGAAAGGACAATACCAAGAAAACATCTGCAAGCAAACTTTCCAAACACGGAAACCATCCTAGAAAATATATAGGGACACATCCAACGTATAGCTGCGAGTTCCAATATCCCTTTCTTTTTAATGGCAGCGTTGCAGCTCATCACTAAGGGTCCCATTATGGTACGAAGCCGGAAATATTTTTATTATTAACCTAATAACGTGAGAGACCATAAAGCAGGTCATTTTCCAAGCTTGCAAAATTGAAAAAAAGCGGGCAACCAGACTCTAGGTCATTCTTTTTCCAAATGGCAACAAAAGAACGAAGACACAGAATAAGGTAATCAAAGGGAACTACGAAAGAACTGACGCTTTACTGATCTAAAAGAAGATTTAGAAAATAAATATTAAGCGTTCATCAATCTATGGATTAAAAATCAATTGATCTGACAGGTCACAGTATTAGAAAATATACACCCCATTAGTCTATACTTAGTTGAAAAATAAATTATGCTTTGATATTAGGAAAGCTGCAATCAATCCATCATTCTTCTCCTTCGTTTCGCATAAAGATCGAAAAATTACAATGCTGGAGACATTCTTACAAAACCACTGCCTTATGTGAAATCACACCTGCACCAGGTGTTAACGATCCTTCGATGTCTAATGAGCGCGGAAAATTCGTTCATATTTCTCTATGTGCCAAGGACAAAGCTATAAATGTTGCAAATTGCCAGAAGGATTCATCCCGCCAAATTGTAAGTTGGGTGCGCCACTTCCTTGGACTCAAACAAAACCCGCTGGGCACAGATGCAAAAGCACAATGCAAACAAACACACCAAATTCAGGAAACCAAGTACATTACCCAGTTTTTTTGGGGTGGGCTTCGTAATTTTCCTGCATTTGCCTCGTGTTTTTAATTAGTCCTACCAATCCATTTAACCTCTTCACCGGACATCCTGCGAGGATCTTCACAGATCAAATTCTACTTCCAAAACAAGTCATCGCTATAAGGTCCGACATACAAGAATATTTTAAGCCTATCAAATCGATTTTAAAGGGTTGATCGAATAAGTAAAGCAAATCTTAAAAGTCCTGACAGCTTAAAGAAAGTTGGAATGAACAAATTTCAGCAATCGCAGAAATCAAATCTTTAAAATACAATATGCTCAATAATTAAAAGGACTGGTGGGCTACAGAATAGCACACAGTCTTTTCCGTATAGATTTCTAAATTTCCTTTGGTCTCGGCTTAGCTATACAAACTTGGCCTCCATCTTGCCAGCTTTCCATACTATCCCACCCAAAGCTACACATTTTTGATTTTTGTTGTTGTTTCATTTTTCGGCTTCCTAATAATAGAAAGGAAATATTATTTTAAGAATATTAAAACAATAAAACTGCATTCCTAAATGGCAATTTCTTTGAAAAATTTAGAGCCGTTTTCAAGAAAATGTCGCTAAGCGCTACAGACAGTTCAAGAATTTGAAGCACTTTTTCACAGGAAAAAAGTTTTGAGTTTAGAAATTCCTACTTTGAAGTTATTTGAAGCGAGATGAGTAAGAGAGACAATAGTGTTTACAAATTCTGGAAATGTGCATATTACCGGCGTGTGAAATATCTTTCAAAGAAATGTATATTGTGTAAGGAAACAGAGATAAATACTTGTAAATAAAACTCATCATGAGTAAAGAGCGGCTTAGCACTATCCCGTTCGAATGTTTGAAAAAAAAATTTGGAGCCGTTTTTGAAAAAAACGGCCTATGAGCATTTTTTGAATCTGCGAAATTTGAGGTAGGTTTGATAGCAAACGGTATGATTTTCCGAGAAGCTTTTTCTGCCATTTGTTTAAAGCACATGCCACTCATAAAATATTAAATCATGTGAAAACAAATTGTCGCTAATGTTAAATATTAACGTCATGAGAGACAAATAAAAAAATACCATCTGGAGGCCTTTTTTTTAAATTTGTTGCGTCTAACATAGACACAACGCGTCTACCATACCCCTTGGGGGGGGGGGGGGCGTTGAGCGCTTTGCGCTTGGAGTAATCCTCCATTAATTGCACGGGAGTCATTCTCCATTAATATCGTTACGTCTCGTCGTTGTCAGTTGTCAAGAGGACCGCCAAGTAGCATCTCCGCGTGCGCGCCACCCAACTATGCGCTCTTGCGCCACTACCCAGCGTCCAGATTTGGGAAGGAATTAGGATTGGGGTAGGGTTTAGGACACTTCACAGGGTTGTACTAGCCCTTGTGAAGCAGTTAAACTGGTTTTGTTGGGACAAATTAAGAAATGCTTGAAACAAACACATGAGATTGTCCGGGACTCGACGGAATCGAACCCGGACCTCTTTGGTGAAAGGAGAGCGACTCTAAGTCACCAGATGACTATCACTAGATCACTATGCCTAGAACGCCCAGAACAGTTGCAGAACAGTGCGTGTAGTTTGAGTTGAGCTGAGCTAATTCTGTAGGTCTTATCGGGTCTTACAAAACCTGAAAATCATGTGCGAACAGTTAAGATATAAAGGGCGATTTGGTACAAAATGTAAGTTATTGTGGAAAACAAATGTCTGTAGCCGCAAACGGTGAGGAAAAAGTTACAGATGAAGAAAAAATATTTCCAGTTTATGGTTGTCATAGCGTATTATTTGAAGGATATCTAGGTATTTTGTGAAAAAAGTCTATGATTTCTGGCACATTGTTCACTTGATATTTGTTAGGTAAATAAAATTATTTGCTTGCACAACATACCAAAAATTAACATGTCATGAAATGCAATGCAATATAGAAATAATTGGTGTGAAGATTTCTGCTAGTTGTTTTTACTATTTTTAAATCTGCATTCACATTCTTCAACCAGATGAATAATTAAGTCAATAAAAATTCAGAAAATATAAAATAATGTAAACATACATTTTAAAAATTGTAGGATGTATGCCGTTTTAAATATATGATTTGTGACTTGGAGGCTGTAGACTACACTCATGTTTTTTACTTCCTTCATTAATAAATCCAAAAAGGCCACACTATGTTAATCAACTCTCATTTCCCTCACAGCTACGTGGGAGTTCCAAGGTAATTTGCTGAACATTAAGTTAAATTACTGCATTAGGCTACATATGAGTAAAGATCCAGAAGGTTATGGAGGATCATCCACGTACACCATTAAAACATTTTATCATTTATCATAAATTACCTCGTTTAAGCATGTCAGCTCACAAAGCAAAGCTCACAAAACAGTATTTCTTCTATGATTTTATCAGACACAGTTTTAGATAAAAATCTAATTTCGTTTTGAATTCGAAGGCTAGCACGGAGTCCCCGGCCCCTCCTGGACTCCGGACATGGTCCTTTCAGTCCCTGTGGAAATTAGTCCGCTATTCTTGGCCATCGAAATTAACCACCACAGGTGCATATTTTACTTTCTCGCATTAAGCTTACGCAGAATTTTATAAGGCTAAAAAACTCATCGGAAATGTTCGTACACTGCATACTTTATACAATGATTTCAAAGCCAGAAATATATTTTCATTTAACAATTTTGAATAAAAAATCAATTGCTTGAAACTAATTTTCACACCAAATATTCTACGATATCAAATGATTTGTGCAAAAAACGATGACTGAGATGTGATAATTGGGAGAGTAATTGCGGAATAAATAGCACGTTTCTCGCCTTTAGTAATGGTTATGTAATACATAACGTGCTGTTTAGCACCACTAGTTTTAGAATATATTTCATTAAGACAAACTCTATCCTCAATATTGTACTTTTGCAATGTGAACGTTTTGCAAGTTTGAAAAATAGAGAGGGTTCGCGTCTTCCCTGACGATTTTTTGACAGTTCGTCGAGATGTGTGTGCGCACGTGCATGTGTGCGTACGTGCGCTCGCGTGAACACATGTGTGCGTTGAGGCAGACGACGGTCATACAGTGTGTGAGGCTCATCCTCTCTTGTCCGCCTGACGTGTGCACGGAGTTTATAACGGAAAGAGCTGGGGACACGTAATTCCTACCTTTTCAAAAAGAATCCAAAACTTTGAATCTGTACATTCCTGACATAATGGTCATAATCTATTCCTGTGTCTAATACTGTATTGGCTTGTCTTTTGCGGTAGGTATAATATTTTTACAAAATGAAGAATAAACAAGGAAAAATGTTCATATTGCCCTGTCGATAGTTTCAAACGCAAGGCAGAAGTGAATGGAAGTAATATTTGAATATAACAATAATTTGCAATGTGTAAAAACTATTTCGTGACCCTGGGATAGTAGATTAGAATAGTAGGCTACAGTGGAATAGATGTTTCTAGTATAGTACTGAATAGAGATCTTTCATTTCCCAAAATTATAAATCTCCATCTTCGATTTCTACACCAGAACAAAATTGTCTTTATTCCACAATTTTATGATTTTGAATTTTGTGTTCTAAAAAGTTCTAATGGTCTAAACAGAAAATACTCGGAATTACCGCCCTTTGCGCCGTAATGATTAAAGACGCGCATAAAGTACTTTCTGCAAGTTCAAAATCGAAGTGTTCATGATAACTGTTTTTGTCGGTATTGTCATGGACGAAGTGATGGGATTGTTGTCTCTTTCAAAGTGGGCATGATTTTCTAAATGAAATTCACAACCATATTTTCTTTTCAAGCGTGATACACATTGTATAAGAACAATAATTTTCCTCAGATACTTAATTTTTCTTTCATAATTCATTCACATAATTAAAACATCTAATAGGAAGAAAAAATATCGAGTTCAATGAATTTTATTAAAGCATTCCTGTGAAACACTGAAAAAGACAAATGTCACTGATAAAATTCGCGAAAAACTGTAGTTGGCAATTGACATAATAACTTATCCATTTTGTCTATCTGCTCTTTGTACCGACAGAATGCGCTAATGTTGAAGTCAAGGTAGATGTGTTCAGTACCCGTATAGAACTGTGAATAAGATGTCTAGTGCTTTAGAAAGTAAAATTTTAGATCTTCAAGCACGTTTGAAGGCCGAAAACGAAGCGAGAGAACGAGACAAAGCCTCGAGAGACTTTGATGATGTTTCCACTAGTCCACGGCCGCCAGCTAAAAATAGGCCAAAGCAATGTAAGTTTGTGTGTTTACTCCTCTGTTTTACCGTTCTCGAATTTATTTTGTGAGATGTAATGAATTGTTATTGTATGTTGTTAAGAAGGGTCTTTTGAAATGAAATTAATGTTTAGTACAACTTTAATTTTGTAATCAAATGTTCCTTCTTTTGATCTAGGGTATGCCATTTTGTAGGTTATAATTGCCTTAATATTAAAAAGGAATCTCATGTTTGTGACATTTTATTTATTTGAAACAGGACACATTGAATTTTTATGTAAAAGTGTAAAATTTGTAAAAGGTCTAGAAAATTTGATGTTTTTCTGTTTGTTCAAGCAGTAGTTGCAGATGGAACTCCCACCAGGCCTCGTAAATCTTTAAATCTTCAACTCAGTTCAGGATTGCAACAAAGAAACCAAGATGCTGGAGAAATTGAAAGTAAACTTCAAGAAATAATGAAGATGAACGGCATATTAAACATTAATGGGAAGGTATGTAATGAATGGTCTAATGAACTGTAGTATCATAGATGTAATTTGTTTGCAATAAAATTATTTGCATAATATTTCCTTTGGTTATTTCAATATCAGCCGTGATATAAGGAAATATTGATGAAAAAGTGCTCACTTAATTTATTATCACTGGAGGCAATGTATGAAAAATAATAAATTTGTATGCCTTGTTTATATTTTTCAGAAGTACCAGACTGAAATAAAAGACCTAGAACATCTTGGGGAACTTGGCAATGGGACATGTGGACATGTTGTAAAAATGTTACATAAGCCTAGCCAGACAATAATTGCTGTCAAAGTAAGTAGTTTGTGAAATTGGATTGAATCAATTAAGTTTTTTTTCTGAAATTAGTTTTAGGTATTCAGCGAATTTTGCAAATGATTTCCTTCATTGTGGCTTGCAGCAAATGCGACGGTCAGGAAATAGTGAAGAAAATAAAAGAATCATTATGGATTTGGATGTGGTACTTAAGTCTCACGACTGTCCATTTATAGTACAGTGCCTTGGATGTTTCATCACTGAATCAGATGTGTGGATTTGTATGGAATTGATGGCTACATGTTTTGATAAACTGCTCAAACGACTGCGAAAAGCTATTCCTGAAGATATATTAGGCAAAGTTACATATGCTGTATGTATTTTCTTTATTACTTGAAGTAATTTATATATAATATATCATCATCGTTCATGATAATATATATTAGTAATAATTCTAGAAACAATGTTTATATATTCGAAGAATAAGTAAATTAATATTCTTTAGGTATAATGTTCTTCAAAAAGAAGTCGGTAGTAACATGGCATAAATTTAAATGTTTGATTTATGTAAATTGATATTAATTTGTTGCTAAGTTTTGCTTTATCAGATTCTAGACTTGTCTCTTTTTACAATATAAAGGAACCATTTTTAATTCTGCAATTAACTGTTTTTATTAATTTGATTAGACAATAATACAACTACATCTTGCTATTGCAGACAGTAAAAGCTTTACATTATCTGAAAGAGACCCATGGAGTGATTCATAGAGATGTTAAACCTTCTAATATCTTACTTGATGAAAAAGGTAATGTCAAACTGTGTGATTTTGGTATATCTGGTCGCCTTGTGGATTCAAAAGCAAAGACAAGAAGTGCAGGCTGTGCAGCATATATGGCAGTAAGTTTGAGTTTGCAGAAAGATAATGTAAATACAAACAGTTAAGCCTTTGTCTTATATTTTTTCTTTTGCAACTTCAGCCAGAAAGAATAGATCCTCCAGATCCTGCTAAACCTGATTATGATATTAGAGCTGATGTTTGGAGCTTAGGAATAACACTAGTAGAGCTAGCAACTGGAACATTTCCTTACAAAGACTGCAAAACAGATTTTGAGGTGCTTACAAAAGTCTTGCAAGATGATCCTCCTTCGTTACCGGATGACCAGTCGTTTTCAACAGATTTTGACAGCTTTGTGAAGTGGTGGTATGTATTAATATTTGTTTAATTTATTTGTGTATTTCATGATATGCTTCTTCTCACATTTCTTCTTTGTTTCAGTTTAACCAAGAATTACAAAAATAGGCCAAAGTACAGAAAACTTTTAGACCATCCTTTTATGAAAAAATATGAGACTGAGACTTGTAATGTTGATGTTGCAGAATGGTTTGCCCAAGCTATGCAACAATCTGAAGTTAACTTGTCATGTAATTCCCCCATTCGAAGGTATGATTAGTGAATGAGGGCAACTTACTAGTGACTTTAATGGTGAAAGTTATTTCAAGAAGATTCAGGGTGCCATAAATTATTTAGACAATTAAGCAGCCCTTTGAAATTACAGTGTAATCTGAATTGTTTATACTTGTAGTCTTCTTTAAAATGATATTTGAAGGGTAATGGTGAACCAATATGCAAAATTATTTTCTTCAAATGGTAATTCTTTAAGAATTATTAACGTGGGATGTTGATCAATAATACATTTTATTTAATTAATTTTATGAACAAAGTTTTATAATTAATAAAAATTAATGTTCCAGAGACCGTTTAAGTGCAAAAATGTGTGGTTTATAGAATTCAATATCCAAAACATGATAACATTTTTTGTTTATGTATTCAAATACAGAACGAAGGACCTTTCAGATTCTATTTCCCATCATAATGTTCATTACACTTCTAGAACAGTGTGATTGATTTTTATCAGTAACACATGTCATTCAGAGAAGTATTTTATATTTGTTATCTTGTAAAGAAAATGTGATCTTCACTTTTTGCCAAGTATTTCTGCCCTTTTTGATGTTTTCTTTAGATTACATACTTTTTATGAAGAACTGCAACACTGATGTTAATTTTTTCTTCAATATACTTTTTATGCATTTACCCTGAAATTGAGAAGGAAATAATGAAAATAAAGAGCGATGAGCATTTGCTAGTTGAGATTTCTTAGAATAGTATTTATTTTTCAAGCAAATGCAGTAATATCTCATTAAGTTTTGAAATGATTAATAATTTATGGTTAATTTATATAATGTATTTGCCAGGTGGAAATTTTGTAGAAGTTATTGTTGAAATAGAAATAATACCACGTTAATTATCAAATATTTTGGAAGAAAATCTTAGTGATAGAAAAAGTTGAACAGTCATCAGCACAATTGCCTGTATTAAATTTTAATGATGTATGAAATTTACAAATAAAAAAATAAAAGCAAAGAGGATTTTGATTAACTTGTTTTTTAATCTGGTACAATTTAAATCTTTTCATAGTAATTCAATTCTTTTCTCTTAGCTCTACTGTCTGGGGATGCTTCATCCAAAGTAGGATGTCAATAAATGAAAAGGTTTTGTGGGAATTGCAGATTGTCAGCTCAGTGTTGACACCATTGCTAGGATGCAGTGTCACCTGGACAATTTGTCAAACTGAAACTTGTAATGACTCGAGGATGCATTAAATTTTTTGAGATTTCAGGGTGGCTGAGATTGTGGTAATGTGATTTCTATCTCCATTTTCTTTAACATGTCATTTCACAATTCATTAAATGTTTCACGGGGGGTCCAAATATTAGGGTTCAAAATTTTGTATTCACAAAACTAGTTTTGGAAATAATTTTACTTCTTTGTTGTAGGCTTACTCCTCCACCAGCATCTCCATCAAGTCGCCGTCATCCATCTCTCTTCCATGCACATCATCGTTCCTTATCAGAAACAGTGCGATCACATCCAAATGGAAGTATGGATGGTGGTAGTGGAAGTAGACTTATAGAGAGGTTGCGTTCTGATCCAAATAGCAGGATAGGCCCCTGTGATGTTGATCGAGCCACACCTCCACTTCTACCTCCATCTCAGCAAGGATATTGGAAAGCACCTCAACCTCCTAGTGATACAGAATGGGATGAAAACAGAGTTGTCGGGTAGGGAGTAATTCGGACCCTCTTCCTTCATTTCCTCCTGTCTAAGTAGAGTGTTGTATGTTGGGCAGTATTAGAATTGTGAAACCATTATTTATGTATATATGTATAGTGTCTTAATATACGAAGTAGCAAGTTTGTCTGATATTTTAATTTGTTATATGTAGTGATTCACCTTTCTACTTTTATCCCAATAGTGGAATATTTATCTTGCCAATGCTCAGGGTTACAAAAATTTTTGTTCTACATCTGGAGATTTTTTTTTTTTTGGAGGGAATAGAATTTTGCTTTGCGTTTTGGTGCATCATTATTTTTCTTCTAAATGAAAGCTTTTTGTACTTAAACTGGATAATACTGAACTAATAGGGGAGAGCACATTGTTTAGACGTGCAATTCTTTGTGATATTTAGCCTGATTTTTGTTATTGGGGAAGATTGATGATTTGGATGAAAGGTGGCAGATAAGAGTAAAATGTACAAGCATTATGAGCAGTTATTTTTTCATGGTGACTTTGTAATATAATTGGGACCATTTTACAAAATGGTAATTATTCAAATTAGTTTTTCAAATAGGAACAATACACAAGGGTTTCACTTAAATAGGTGATATCTGGAGTTATTGTGACTTAAAGGACTATGATGTTAGATAGAACAACTGACTGCATATTTAACTCCTATTACTTTTTGTCTTTGTTTACAGAGGCTTCATAGTATTATTGTAATTTTGAAGTTACCAGCTTGATTTGTATTTTCTGAAGATTCTGTAGTATTTATTGAAAGTAGTTTGTAGTGAATAAACTTGTATGTTGTCAAGAAGTCCTGAATTTTAATAATTAAGATTCTGTAAATCTCAGTCAAGTGAAGAAAATTACAAAATGATGTATTATGAAAAAGCAAATTGGTGCAATATTCCTAGTTTGTTTTCTGTTTAAATTTTATTAATTTTTGCAATGTTAATTATCATTATGTGCATTACAAACTGTTTTTTCATTTATCTTCAATGTTTTATTATTTTACTTTCACATTTTGAAAAGATACTTGTTATAAATTAGTTTTGAATGTCAGAGAATGAGAGTTCTCGGTGAATGTCACAATATCCCCAAATGTTACATCTGTCCAACATACATGTTGATCTCTGCTTAATATTTTAAAAACATTCAATGTTGTGATTATTTTAGTAATAGAATGCTACTTTGTATGCTACTTAATCAATTTCTCTTTAGAATTGCTAGTCAGAATTTTTTTATTTTGACTACCTGTGTATTATTCAAGCTGTATATTACTAAGTAATTTTAAAATGTAACTATAAGATTTATGCTTTAAAGATTAGTTTTTTTTGGTCCTAATTGCAGTGACTTTTCCTAAAATGAATGAGCTTTTATATAAATTGTCCTTTCTGTGAGATTTTTGCCCTGATACAGTGAATGTTCTTTATGCAGTTATTTATATTTTTGTTTGTGTTTTGTTCTTTACATTTCTTGCCAGTGAAGTTATGATTGTATTGCTCTAAAATGATTTATTTGATTGTTAATATGACAATTCATTAGCAAATTTTCTCTAAAATTGTTTCATATTAATTTACTTGAAATGGCAGATAATGTTTGATATTTGTCCAGAGTTTCTCAAGATATTCATCCACAAATTTTGTTGTCTGAATTTTTCAATAAAAGTAGAATTAAAGTGAAATACAAGTGAAGCTGCATCTTGCAGAATTTCCTATACATGTAAAATGATCTAAACTTTAGTGAAGTTACTATCTATTTCTTATGCAATATTTGACATACACTAATATTTCAAAACTAAGAGAAGCATGGCTTCTTACTTTTTCAGAATTATTTGCCAAATTTTGACAAACACAAAATAATATAGCAGAAACTAACGTGCTATAGATTTAGTGATTAATATTGCACGCTGCATGACTAATTAATGTATTTTTAATGGAAGATACAAAGGAATATCTTTAACTTTTTTGCTGTAAGCTTATTTTGAATTTAGAAGTTCTTGAGTTTTAATGCTCCGGGCGTAAAATTTATTCTGTTAACCATTTCCACAATTCTTCATATTGTGAAATGCAGATCCCATGTTTTTATTCACTGTTAGTGAAAATTCTGAGTTTCTTGTGTTTTATTACCACTCAGTTTTCAATGACTGCTCAAAGTAGGATGTCTGTTCTTAATTTGTTTCAGTAGAATAATGTAATAGTTACAGTAAGATATGTGATTTTGGTAATGATTTATATTTGACATTGAAAATTTATTTCACTATTCTTTTATTTAAACAGGAGGATTTCTTATATTTTAAGAATAAAATTGTTATTTGGGTTGCCATCACAGTTTGATTAAAAGCATTTTCTTCTTGCATGAAAATTAGTACAGTGTTTCTAAAAAGCCTTTTTTTGAAGGTGAAGTAATTAATGATTTTCACTTATCTACTTCAAATCTGGAGAAGTTCAATAAATTCAAAATTGTTTAAATTTGCTTTTACATTTTTTAGTCTCTTGAAGTATAATCATTTTATACTGAACATGTCACTTTTCTGATGTATCTTATTTTTATTGTAATTTTCAGTAGTGCAGTACAGTAACCTTCTGTTTAGTTGCTGGATTATTTTATGTTCACATATTTTTGCCTTGTACTGATTTTGTAGTGTCGTATCACTTTTATGTGTAATAAAATAGACATGCTTTTTTAAAAACATATATTGGCAGTGTTATGAGTTAACATTTATTAATTTGGTATCATTTCATTTTCTCCATTAACAATTCCATATATTCTTTTGCGTAACATTTGGTGATTTAAGTTAATTATTTGTACTCATTTTAACATACCAATGTACACTTTGAGAGTCTGCAATGATGTGATTACATTTTATTTGGTTAGAATTTAAGTTGGCTACTTTCTGGCTAATAAATACAGTTTACTCATGTTTTGTGTACTCTATTTGTATGAAATTAAATTTCATTCTCTCCATATCATTCCATTTATTAGTGTTAGTACTGTTTTGAAATGTTTACTCCTATTCCCATGCTTTTTTATGAATGTAAGCTAATTAATTGTGTTTGCTGCAATTTTAATGCATGTCTTGTATACAATGTAATGCTTTTTTTCGCTTCAGGTATTTTCTTACCTGATTATGTCATATTTTTCTTGCATGGATATTGTGCATGAAGGAATGAGGTGAAAAATTTCCTCCAATGGTATCTTTGTTTCTTCTTTTTCTGTAATGGTTGATTGCTTCTCTTACTGTAATAGTTAACAAGATCAGCTTGCTTTGTATTTCTGCTTTTTGTTCTCTGTTCTTCATCGCTTTTCTTGTATTATTACATGTAATTTGTGTCAAATGCAAAGTATTATGGAAATATTGCCATGTAAAATAATTCTCTTTATAAAAAATGGAGATAGAACTACAGTTGTGAAGCTTATAATTTTGTTCAAAACTGAAAAGTGGTGGCTGCTTTGTGTTTTATCAGAATTTCTCACACTTCCTTTGCAGAGCTTGGGTTAATATATAAGCTTATGCAGAAAAGCTCTTGGCTTAGTGCTGTTCTTGTACTTGGAAATTCACAAATATTTTATTTGCTTTAAAATTGAAATAAAATTTAAAATAATTATTGTTATTGATGGATAGTCTCAAAAGCTTAATTTTAAAAATATTTGTGGGTTTCTGCCTCTATGCTGCATTTCTGTAAGTGTAAGGGGCATTGTTCTTGTGATTGCCAGGAGCGGGTTTGTTGGGTCGCCTGTACCTGGCCGGAAACGCTTCCCTTCTGAACCACCAGCCTACCAACAGTATCATCATAATCATGGAAACTCCAGTTTTCTAGTCTTGCAGAGGTTCTATCATCAACAGAATCAGCACTTACAACACCAAAACAATCACCACCACCTCCACCACCATCATCACCACCATCACTTAAATAACTATCCTCTTCAACATCAATCTTCTCTGACTCATCAGTCACCTTCTCCTGAATCCAATGGAGAAAAGTTAGATGAAGCAGGCTCTACAAATGGAGTTGGGAAGAAACGGTTTGCATCCTATATAAAATTTCATCTTGGTGGAGGAGGAGATTCACGAAGGAACTTTCCACCTCCAAGGCCATCTCGTCACGGTTCCCCTGTTCCCAGCCAGAGCCCTGAACCTCCCCCTAGACTTAGCAGAATGTCTGCAACTAATACTCCAGAAAGTGGTACTCCCATTCATGGTTCTTCTCCTCTTATGATGAGACGAGGATTTCTTGATGTGTCTCCTGTGCGACGTAGTTTTGCAGAGGGGTCACCGTCACTTTCAAGGAGGTAATTTATTTCTCAATAAGTTATTTTATCCCAAAATGACATATACATTTTAAATCTGAATAATTTAATTTTGACTTAGATATTTAAGTAATATTGTGAATGGTTTGTAGGTATGTCTCGCCTTCACCTCCTCAACCACCACCTCGAAGGCTGTCTGAAAGTAGCTCTGTTCCGGGTTCACCTCAGCATCGAAGAGTGGAACATTTCCGGGCAAGATTCCACTACACCCCAGAGCCACAGAGGCGAGTATTCAGTGGAGGGGATTATCAGGACCTGTGAGGTACCTGTGTATTATTGCAAGCCCTTTAACCCTATTATGATGGCTGTGTGTTTATCATACTTGTGTAGCTTAAAATTTGCCTAAAGAGAGAATATTGCATGAATGTTGCAAGTTGTCTCAAAGTGTGCTTGATGGTTAAGTCAATACATATGACGTGGTTTTGCATGTCAGTTATAATGTGTAAGAATAATGGTGTTGAATTCAGATAATGAATGCTATCTGAAAATGTATTTAGTACAGTAAACCAAAGGATGTAATATTGAATTTTCAGTGGTCTTACTTGTTGATTATTAAAGATTTCAATGCCTTCATGAATAAAGTTTCAAGGGGAGTATTTATTGGAAGACATAGGCAGTCTTCATAGATCCTGAAGACGTTCCTATATTAGTATTTGTGGCTGGTGAGCATTTCTCTGCATTATTGTTCATTACTATTGCTTTATTGTAATGAAATGTGAGGCATTATTTGTACTTGAGTGTGAACGTGTTTTTTCTGTACTATGAAAATGCAATTCAACTGCAAAAAAAAGTTTTGTTTAAATATAAACCAAGAAAGAGTGAGGTGTTTCTTGAGTACAAAGAATCACCATTAAGTAAAGGTTCATTCCAAATTTTTAAAATTTAATCTCTTGGCTTTTGAAATTGAGTTGTACAGTATGATAATATTGCCAACAGTTTTTTATTCATGTAGAATGTACTGTGTGTATAACAGGATCTGGTGAATATCTTGTGAAGTGTTTTTCTGTGCCCAGTCATTTTTTGTAACAACATGATGTAATTTGTATGTGATTATCTCCTATTATAAAGTATGCTGTAATAGTAACACCTTGTTTTCCATTTATAGCGATGCAGTAAAAGATGTTTTCAGTTTATTATTAATATGATCAATGTTCTGCTTGCATCTCTTGCTATAAATGGGAACTTCATTATTGATGCAAAATATGTGGAGAAAATTATTTTAAAAATAGACATTTAATTCAATCATTGTTCATTTGTTGCAAATGTGTTGATTCAAGAAATTATTTGAATGAATATTCTGATAATACTTCTTGAATTATACACTTTGGATGTCCAGGTATGTACTGTGTTTTGTTGATGATCGTATTAGTTTTTTAAAAATTTTGTAATATTTTGTTTGTGCTGACATAACTTGATATAACAGACAATATGATATAAAGGTTGCAAAAAAATTGTGGTATCAGAATTCGAGGATATGAATGAAATTGGTAATACATCTCAAATTCTGCAAAATATTAGTGATTTTAGATAATAGCATTATTCTAACAACTTGGATTTTTCTTTTCTGAAAATTATGTGTACATTTTGCCAAGTAGAAAGTTTTGTATTTAAGCTCATAAAAGAGTTAGAATTATGTTAGAAAATTATAATTTTTAATTTTAAAACATGTGGGTCGTGTTACATAATTTCTTGTGAATGGAAACTTTATTTACCAGAGACAGTTGTGATTGTAAAGATTTTGTAGACAGAACAATGTAGAAAACCTAAACATTGCCAAAGTTGGAAGGGAAGCAAAAATTGTCTGTATTTATATTCCCCCATTTTTTCAATTGTAAGTAAATTAATTAGTTGTAAGATTGTGTGAATGATAATTTAACTTTTATTACCACTTACAAAAAAGAACGTATAAGTAATTGCTTATAATGTCAGGAATTGGTAATTACCAATAAATTGTGTTGAAGAGCATTGTGCAGATAACTGTACATACAGATACTTATGTAAGGATGAAATGAGGTATATTGCTATTAATTCAAGAAAGAAAGAAAAAAAAAACAGTATCTAGTCATATGGATGTACAAAGTATAATAATGTCCACATATATGTACCTAATATATTGCTCAGTAAGGGCAAGTCTGTAAATGGAAAATAAGGTGATATTTGCAAAGTCTAGCTTAAACTGGAGAGGAGTATTCTTTTCTTCAATTTTTGATTGTCTTGATTGACTATAGTTCTGTTTGACTTCTAGATTCAGTGTGGCAATTATATTTTCAAGTTAAGAACCCAATTATTTTTGGTTTCGTTAAGAATTCATTATAATAAAAGTACAAAACCTATTCTTAAGTTTAAGAAAGATATTTGCTTTCCATTTTGAAAAAATCCTTAACATTCTAAATTAAATTAATACGTACTTTATTCAAATATAATATGGATTTTGGATAATTGAACCTGCACTACTGAGGAGAAATAATAATAATAATAATAATCCATTGTTACTTTTCTTCTTAAGAAGGTCACAACCGCAAGCTGTTTTAGTAATGTCACAGTTATTGTGTTGTATTATTCTGGTTTTGTAATTAAAGTTGTTTATTTTATTATGGTTTACAGTTCAATTAAAAGTGTTTTATTGTGGCTATCATGCATTGCATTTTGAGTGTTTATAATTTCTTTGGTCAATTTAGTAGGAAAGAAAATGATGGATTCAACTAAACAATAATGAAAAATTTGTCTGTATTTTATGTTTATCCAGTATTCAGGTGTACATTGTATATCTTTTTCCCTAAGTACATTGGTGCTGGATGTTTCCAGAGCCTAGTTTAAAATAATTGTGATGTAAATGGTTTTAATGACAAAACTCAGGGTTTTTATGTATATTCATGTGTGACTGCTGTTGAGTGATGAATTACCAACATTTAGTGGTACATAATGTTTAGAAATAGCTAGTGATGTAACAGCATAACCACCACAGGAGAAATGCATCACTTTAGTTAGATACTTAAACTTCCAGTATTTTTGTAAGATCGTCATATTGCTATAGTGTACTTAATAAATATTAGTGATCAGTCAGGTCTGGTGTGCTTTATAAGAGCTTGCATTGAAAATATGAGAGTTACCCAAATCCGGATGTTGTAAGTAATAAATTTCTGTTCTTGTTTTTAAAGCACCTGGACATATTGCCTTGTTTCAAATTCCATTTTTCTGCACTATTCTTTTTTTTAAGGAATTGTTTTAATTTTCTTTATGTGTTTTAATATATGTTGCTTAATCAGTCATTTTATTTGTAAATTTGAGTTCCTTATTATTTTCTGTTTTCTAGCTGTAAACCAGGCATCTTGTTTTTAGGATGTAATGGAACTCTTATTTGTTTTCATGTTTTGTTATATCTTGCTCTAATACTCTTCACCAAATATTATTGAGGAATTGTTCCATATCGGAGTAAAATTACCAATCAATCTAGTCAATGAATAAAGATAATCCAAATGATGAGTTGGTGTATTTTTTTGTTAATATTCTTTTTCTTTTTGTGCATCATTTTACAAACTAGACATTTATTTTTCTGCTACTTGTATTATATTGCTTTGATTCTTTATTGTTGAAGAGATAATGAGAAAATAAATATGAAAATATGCTGCACTTAAGTTTAGCTTGTATGCTCAACAGTTTTCAAGATTTGCTCGAGTACCATCAGTTCTAAAATTGGATTATATATTACAGAACTATTTTCATTGGTGTAGATAGTAGCCATTGAATGTTTTAGGAACTATTATTAAAAGACTTTTGTGTATATTTTGGTAATGGAAGTATTATTTTTGTTGAAAGGATTTCATTGTTATGTGATGACTTTACTGGGGACTATTTTTTCCCAGAATACAATGCCCACATGTTGATGATCGTGAAACTCTCCTTCCCACTTCTGAAGTGAAATATAAAAGGTAATGTTCTATACAAGAAACACTTGCGGTTTTTATTCATGGTATTTATTGATTGAAATTTTGGAATACTGATATTTTCCATTTAGAGTTTATATGAAATTCTCCTTTCTAATTCTCCCTTTTTCTTTTCTGTAATTAGTTGAGGTTGCACTGCAAATTCAACACTCCACCACATTGCCACGCATGTTTTGATGGTAATTACTTCAAGTTGTCATTTTCTCTAATTATTCCTAAAATAATTGACTAGATGTGTATGATGTATTGCTACTTCATATTTAAGAAATAATTTGAGTGTGCACATTTTGTAAATAAAATTATAATTATAATTTTGAATCATTAAAGTGTTTTACCAGTATTTTGGCTTTCTTATGAGAAATTCTACATGAGCTTTGTGAAAATATTTTAGGTTCATGCCATGTTAATTGACAAATTAACAAAATGATATTTTATGTCAATATGAAGGTAATGTTTATATATGTAAATAAAATTATTGGCGATGAGCTGCATTTTTTGAGTTTTCAATATCCATGTTGTTGTACAATTTGATTAGAAATGTGCTTGCAGATACTTAAATGAGATTGCTTTTAATGCAATATAACTTTATGGGACCCTTGTAATTGAAATCCTCATAATTCACTTAAAAAAAAAAAAAAAAGTACAATACTTAAATTTCATTTCATCATCATTTTTTTTTTTTTTTTTTTCCACTGAGTGTGTCTTTGCAATCATTTGCAATTTATAAGAATGTGAAATATATTTGGTTTGGAAAAGAAAATGCTGCCAATGATGGTTTTTAAGATGTCCTTTTTTCCCCAAACAAAACAAAAAAAAGCTGGGTATCATTCTAAATATTGTAATTTCCAAGATTAATATCGGAAAAAGAAGTTTCTGCTCAAAATTATCATTTCACTCAAGATTAAAATTGGTTTTACCATCTATGATTACTATTTCAAGGGATAAGAAATGTTGTTTGTTTTTTTGCGTCAAATTCTAATAGGAATTGTTTGCCATAATCTTACTCATATTTATAGACACTCGAACATTAAAAATTAATATGAAAAAAGAAGAGAGAATGGGGAAGTTTTATGGGGTTTAATAAACACATGAATAAGGAATGATTTGCAAGGTTTACTGTATTTTGTGGCCAACAGACACATAGATGGAAAAAGACAACAAAGATGGTGTCTGAGTTTTGGAAGGTAGTTTCTTTATAAGAATGTAATTTTCAGGAAGTGGAAGTAGTGAGATGGAAAAGATGTATATTAATTTAGGTATTTCCTGCTGAACATGGAATCAAAGTGTTCTAAGACATTTAGAGATGAATGAAATTGAATTTCAAAATTATGTAAATGGAAAGGAATATTTAGAAGAATTGAAGTTGTATTTATGAAATTCTTATTTGGTGTTGTGTGTTTCATGTACTTGTGTACCTGAAGTAGTGGTAATTGGTAGTAGTTTACAAATGGCATTTTTCTGAGGTAGAAGGAGTATTAGTAAATGCTTTTCAGCTTCTGTTTTCAAAACATTGGTAAATGCGTTAATGATTCCAGAGGCGTAAGTAACATTGTAATGTTGAAATACTCTAATACTACATAATACAAACACCTGCCTTGCATTTTTACGAAGTGCTAACTGTGGCCACTATATTTTTATGCAGATATTTGATGGAGGATATTAAATTTCATTCTTGATGTTTTGTCTTCCCAGAATGTTACATTTATTAATTTGGATAGCCTCTCAGATATCTTTCTTGAGTTGACACAACACACAAATTTTGTAATTTCATTACTCTATAAATGTGTAAATCTTGGAAGAACAAGTAGTGTATTTGCAAGAAGCATATGAAGCTCTGCTGGATTATAACAAATTGATTCACTAAAATCAAGGTATTTTGTAAAACTACATTTATAGTTCATTGTCACTCATGGTAAATTTGAATGAAATTTTATTTTGTGGTTGCATGCATATTAGTTTACATTAAGATGTTTGTTATTTTGACTGAGCAGGAACTTTTTCCTTTTGCAGGAAAATTTCAGTCATTACTAAACAAGAAGTGTGACAAAAGTTGTGTGTTTACAAAATATTCAGTTCTTTCAATGGAATGCAATCATGAATGAGAAAATATTGAATTTTTGCATTCTCATAGGTTTTTAAGCACATTGTAAATTTATTTCTTAGTTTTCCTAGTTTTCCTTAAAACTTCTTAGTCCTTAGTTTTCCTTAAAACTCTTTAAAACACATTTTCCAGTTGAAAGAAAGAACAAGTACAGTTCTGCCTAACTATTCTGTAAGAATTCCGTTTTTGTTATTCAAAATTTCAATGAATAAGAAGTTTCATTTTTTACAGTGAAGTTTGTCTAAACTTTTCCCCAAAATAGGTTTTGTGTATATTTCAAATAAAAAATTTCAGTGGTAATAAGAAAACAAAATACTTCATCAAAATAGCTGACAGCAAAATGATATATTGCAAATTAGTGGTGGTAAATGGAACTGAATTATGAAAAAATCATATGGGTTACTTGCACTTCAAATTAACCTGTATCAAAATTTTGTTTTCTGTTGTTAAATGGATATAACAAGCACAGTCCCCCCCCCCCTGGTGTTTATAATTCAGTTTCATGCAATTTTGAAATAATTACCAAAGAAACAACAAATAATAGTTTTATTTGAAATTGTAAATTTTTTGTATTAAAAGTAGAATTCAGAGATAATTTTTTGTATAATTAATATTTATTTACTTTAGTAAATTTATACTTTTGTGTGTCCTGGAAAAAGTGATACTGGATTAATACAGACTGATTAGATCATTTTTTATATGTAAGAAGAAAGTAAACTGTTTTTCCATTTCAGATTTTGCTGGTATAAATGCACATGTAGGCATATATTCTTTGTGCTCTAGTAAAACCTCAGCAAAAAGAAAAATATGAGGAATTAATTCCTGTATTTAAAATTTTTAGTGCCAGTTTGTAAATAAAAAAAATCTTTTATAGTAAATCTGGACAGACATTCCATAAGAAAGGTATTGGTTCCTATTTTCCACATTGTCACTCAGAAATTTTTATTTTTATTTTTTTTTCTACTGAGCAACATAGTTAGCATGTTTGTGAATCTGAAAATGTAATAACTCCACTTTATGTATTCTCTAATTTCATGCCATTTTTTTTTTTTTATTTTGTGCCCTTTAACTGTTTGAAGATACAATAAAATGTAATTAAAAAGAAGTTTATGAGAATTTGGAGTTAATTACTGAACATTTATACTTTTGAGTTGTTAGAATATTTTAACAAATTTAATTATCAAATAAATGTATTTCTGCATTATTTTTAGATGATTTTGATATTTTGTATCGAAAGTCTGAATAAATATTGACATTTTCAGGTTGAAGTTCATACAAACGTACATTTATGGTAGGAAAAATAAAATGGTAGTACATTCCTTAAAAATGTTCCTTTCTGTAGTAATATTTTATTATTTATGAAATACAGTAACTTCCCTATATATTTGTCTCTATTTAGTTATTGAGTGTCATGAAATACTTTGATTACATTTAAAAATATTTACTGGTCTAAAATCTTCAGGCCCATAGAGCATTAGCATGTACCATTGCCCTGAGAGAACTGTTTTTTAATGATTGAATTTTTCTTTTCATTGTATCGAAATTACTAATAACTTGCAGAGCGAAGAGAGTTTCACGAAACAATCAACTTGTGCTTGATCGTTTTTTAATTGTTTCTCAATTGAAACAGAAGGTTACTGTTGCAATCTAAATCAGTACACATCTGACTTATTACACAATTACTAGTGGATTGTTACAGTATTATATTACAGTATTTGGGAGTATCATAAAGTGTTATAACGAAGTATTCTTCATTCGAAACTTTCATGGTTTATCATCAAATTTATTATATAAATGTTTATTGAGAAGTCCTCCAAATAAATAATGCGGTGCAAAATGTTTTTGGACTTTTTAACTTTGTTTTTTCCTTCATTTGTTGTCTATTCAGAAAGTGGTTCTTGTACTCGGTAATGATTGTGAATTGGAAATTATATTTATTGTGGCAACCAATTTTAAAAATGTAACTCAATAATGTATTTGTAAAAACAGTGTACTAGTGGAGTACTGATTATGGTTAAACATCTTTGGATGCAATTAAATTTTTTTGTACAGACTGCTTGTTTGAAATAGTAATACTTGTTTATTCTTTTTCTTTTGACATTAATTTTTATGCAAGAACTTGTATGAAATAACAAATTAAATTAGGTCCTATATTCTTCCACAAAATAAAAACTTCAATTGCACATGAATCAACTTTATATGTATAAGAATGTAAAACAGTACCAAAGACTGACAGTAGGTACCAAGTACCATGTCTCAAAATTAAGTTTCATGAAGTGAGTTAATTAGTAATTATTTCTCTAATGGAGGTGTTTCATATTTGGTAAGAACACACAGCCATCATCTTGGTTTTCTGTGTACTGATGTAAAGTCTTTCGGGAAAGACTTTTTGTGTGTGAAAATTATTTATGTTGCCTATTTTGTTCAATATAGTTTAATGGCCAGTTGTAATATTAAATATTGCTATGTACTATTGCTGTCTTTTGGACTGTAATTCATGACTAGATTACAATATCATTGTTCACATCTTTGAATATGCTTGAGATTACAGTGTTCATTGATGAAACACTCAGCACTAATATTATTTTATGGGCAGATGTTCTGAATTATAAGTGAAAGCACAAATGATTTTTCCTTTCTGAGAAAGAAAATTTTGACTTCTATATCAGCCAAAATATCTTTGGAAAAAAGAGAAACTCATTGTATAAATCATTTTGAATTTTCTATTATTAAAGTAGTTTTTTTCTGTGTGTTTGCTCTTTACAGAAATGAAATATCAATAAAAGTGTATCCAAATTCATGTTGCAGGAACAGTATCCACATTTTATTTTTAAAGAAGGGCCTATTTGTAAACTGACAACTGCATTTCATATTGTGTGTACATGAGCTGTGCTAGGTGTGTTTGTGCAGTTCTCTCCAGTTCTTTAGCAGCTCAGTTGAGGTCCTAAATTATTGAGTCTTGCCTTCAGAAAGCCCACAAACATACAATTGCTCATATAAAATAAGTAGGCCTTTGTTAATTTGATACTTGCACAACGGTATTATACTTAGCGCACAGAAATGGACATAGATTAAGATCACTGACTTTTCTACCTCTATTTTGCCAGAGACAAGTTCGGAGAAATTGTGACATTAATACTATTATGCGGGTCTATTTTGCAAGCAAGTTGTGCACAAAGTGAAAAGAACAGATAATCAAATTTGGGCTTTGTACTTTTTTAATATACACTACTCAATTGTTTTCTGTACATAGATTTCATTTTCTCATATTGTTGCCCC